ATACCTTATAAAAGACAAAATAAAATAAAATAGGAAGAAAAGAAAAGAGAATTCAAAGCTAAAAAGTTTTTAAATTTGTATAAAAATTAGAGGAATGTTATCTACGTCTGGTATTTCTAACTTCAGTTGGTGCTTCAAGTTCTTCTACTGTAGCCTCTACGACGGGGGAAACCCGAACCTAATTTTATGTCAATTTGTGAGGTTTATAAGGTTTCACTTAACTATTAAAAGTAACCTTACCCTTCGTCTTTCACTTTGACGTTGCCCCTTTATTGTGTCTTGAATGAGTAGATTAGCTGCCCATTTCTTGTTGCACTTGTAGATCTGATAACCGTAATCGAAGCTATCGCTTTAAAGTCTCAAGGCATAGTATGTTCTCTCTTGAGGTGAGAGACATCCCCAACTGGTGGCAACTGTACCCTCCTGAATTATTGCATATCGTAAGCGGCGAGTGATGCTCCGAAACTGCAGTCTAATTGTCTTACATTTTGCTTCGCAAATCTTTGCAGGTTTTTTTTTCCACAAATAGACGATCAATGCATCGATACATGCGTTAGACCAAAGCGTTTTGTTTGTGAGCGTTGGTCTGAATTCTATCCTAGCCCGTATAAAGGTAGCTACGATACTTCAGGCAAAAAAACAGTCCGGATGGGCATTGACTCTGGCCATCTCTCTTTTTTTAGCTACAAAATGAATCCATGAGAGACAACTTCTTACACATAATTATCACATAATTTGAAAACAGTATGGTATCTTCAGTTTCGAAGGCGAAAAAACTGGTTACATTTTCATTAATTAGTGCAGATAAAAACTGAATAGCAAACCGTTCGTCTAATCGCAAAACCGGCGATTTGAGTTCAGATACCTTATTGAAGACAGCCCTTACCATATCATCGCTTGTGGATATTGACAGCATGTTGCTCCGAGCAATTTTATGCATCTTAAGAAGTTCAACGTTCAAATTAAATGGACAAACAGAATACAATGATAAATTAAGGATAAACCAGTAGAAAAAACAATTCGGCATATACATTTATGCAAATGTTATAATATACTAATTTCATACATGGTATGGCACAAGCCAGCAATTTTTTACATAAGTAATTTATAGAAACCTGCCGACATTTACTCTTTTATAAAATTTCTCTTCTACCATGCAAAATCAATTCAAACGTACAAAGTTTTCCGTTCCTATTGCGTGCGACCAATGCATCTATATGTTCGATCACCCGTATTAATCTTCGTAATGACAAGCCTATTCATGCTGCTCATATCGAGCACAGTATTGCTGTTCGGAATGAAGAAATCATTATGGTCGATAATGTGGAGAAAGCCAGAGTGTCAACCTCGGTCAATGCTGTCCAATCCAGTATGATAGTTGTGACAAAATGGGCATACACAAAATGAAAATACTAATTCGAAACTTTATTTCCACATTTTTTCGATCCTGACAAGCTGAGAACATTCAAGGCCTTGTGCAATTTTAGCCCTGGTGATGAAGGACACGTTTATAATGAAGCTTCTATCCAAGAGTACACGTTTATTACATCACAGCTAATGAGTTTCGAGTTGTATGATATCGTCATATCCTTCCAAATCTTTTCTGAAAGCCATCGTCCGATTGTGCGCCTTACGAGTACTGTTATCAGAGATTATGAAACATTTGCCGAAGGTATAGTGTTTCTTATACATCCATATACATGCATACAAACAGTACTATATATTCTATTAATTACAGAATATAACTCCCATATTTTCATGTTGGTCCTGTGCCTACATTTCGAGAAGAAAGAACAATCAAAGCTCATGAGTATGATAATTGCAAAAATGTTTGTCAGCTCTATGATATTACCAAAGTAAAAAACTTTTACTCTGTATGTAAAGAAAATAGATACGAAAGCGAGGTTTCTTGTTCCGTGTTAATTCTATTCCAAACAATGAAGATGATGTCCATTGGTGATCAGCTGTCTAAGCTGTTAAGTCATGACGAAACACGACAAAATTTACGCTACGTTCATGATTGCAATTAAAATCCAGGAATCATTTCTGATTACTTTGATGGCGAGGACTACAAGGCTTTAAAAGCTGGAAACCTTTTTCAGTATCCCAAAGATATTACTCCAGTACTCATTGTCGTTGGATTTGTCAATCGGATAAAATCGAAGCATGAAATGACCATTGTGCATGTACTGGTACTTAATTTTGACCCATCTATTAGGTAAGGTTGGCTTTACGTCTTCTTAAACAATAGTTGACATAAACAATGAACGTACAGGTCAATAGACATTTCAACTTGTCATTATTGCTGGTAAGCCTAAGGACTAAGATTCCTTCCTCTTACTAATTGTTGATGAGATAAAAAGCCTTGGTGAACATGGGTTGATTGTCGAATGATGGAATGGTGAGAGAGTAAAAGCTAAAGTGCTTTGGTCATGGCTAACGGGGGCAACCCTCAGGTAAAAGCCCTCCCACCTTTTTTTTTTTCACGAAAAAATTTCGTGTTTTCGATTGCCTTATTTAAAAGTCCGAACATGCAAAAAAAATGTGTAAATCCGGCAGGGGAGAACTGAAGATGGTCAAGAAAGAAAAAATAGAAGTTCCTTAACGTTGGTCCGTTTACATATACCCGTTTCCTGAAAATTGGTGGAAAAACGCTGGTACCGTAGTCACTTGATTTAAGGGCACTCACAAGCAACAAATTTTTTTTTTAAAGATCCCGATTTAGGACTTTATCATTTTTCTTTTTGTGAAAGGTTACAATTTTGCCAAATAGATGAATAAAAAATTAAATGGATATATATAGACGATTAACAATAACATCGAATTTTCTCCAGTGCCAAAATTTTCGAATATCCCAATAATGGATTAAAATCCAACGACCCTGGAATTCCTTCTATCAGATGACAAATCAGCCAAATTGAGCTACTAACTCACCAATGTTTTTTTTTGTTTTTTTGATAAAAGAGTTGTGTTTGTGATCCTCTTCATTTTTCTTTACCAATTCTTAATTATCCAATTATATTTAACAAAATGCCTTTCCAAAAGTGCACTACCATTAACTTCGTCATATGGCTTTCAGCAAACACCTATACTTTGATCGAGTTGTTTTACGATTACGTTGTAAGCGTCTGTGTTATTCGCGCATTTCAAGCAAAGCTGAACTTGAACAAGGCAACGGAAGATGGTTCTAATGCCAGTGACGATATCAACGGTAGAAGGAACTTTGCAGCGATGAATAACAAGTGGATTAGCCTCTCTGACATGTTCAAAAACTGACGAGACGATGCTAATTCTACTGGTAGTGCACCTCTTTAATACTGGAACGTTTACGATCTGATGAAACAGGCAACATCGAGAATGCAATAAAACTGTCGTGAACACTTTGTTGTCCGTAAAGTGTAGAAATGTCTGATCCCATAACCATATTTATATCGTCATCAAGTCCAAATAAAATTTATTGTGATTCAGCAATTGCTGTAACAATTTGAGATAAGTTCATTTTGTTTTCTCTAGAAATAAAAAGTATATCGAAACAATAGGGTCCTAGAAAAAATAATAACAGATAGGTTAGCATTTTGAGTAAACTTTATATTTTAATCGTTCAAACAGGGTCATTAAAAAGCAAAGCCATGGATTTTGGAGAAAGCTTTCCTGTGGAAGTCTGAAGTAACCTTTCACAAAAAAAAAATAATAATAATAATAATAAAGTCCTTAATCGGAAACTTTAAAAATATAATTTTGTTGCTTGTGAGGGCTCTAAGGGTGTTCGATTAAAGTGTATTTTCTTCTTAAGGGTGGATTTTTAAAAAACAACTTCCGTCCCGAGCATTAACAACACTAAACCACTATTATAATAAAGGGTGAGATCCTAATTCCCCATACCCTTAAATCGAAAGGGTTTTTACCATATTTGGGTTTTTTATCAGTTTTTTATATTTTTTTGGTGCCCAGTCGAAAGAAAGAATTATCAATAACAGATCATCTTTTTTTATGGTCATTTGTGACAGGATAAATAATTTTTTTATTGAAAAAGCGACGAATATCAGCTTGTTCTTTCAATGTTTTTACTTCAGCACGATATTCAGCCAATCTCATTTTAACACGTCTATCGAACTGATTGTCCAAGTCATCCAAAGGCACATCCAAGGCAAGAATAGTCTCATAACCTGCTCTCCCAGAACAAACCGCAAACTTCCAGTTTTCCAGCAAAGGCCTAGAAACCTGTCATTTTTGGGGTCCACCCCAAATGGCAATTGGTAACAACATACCCGAGCGAGGCCACCAACCTGGAGCCCAAGATGTCTCGTGTGGCGTCATGTACACCATCGTTAATGCCCCAAGGATGACCTTTCCCCCGAAGAAAAAAAAATTACGTAGTAACAATAAAAGTGCATACTTGGTACAAGTAAGGCAAAATAGTGACCGAAAAGTCTGACATATTTAACTCAAAAAAAAGACAATGAAAAATTAAGCGAATCCCGTCACCTTCACCCACTCACTTATTCCGAAGACTGTCCCCAATATACAAACTGTTTTTAACTAATCATCAATCGATTGTTTTTGATTAACTACTGTGTGTAACTAATGATATTATAAATCACAATACTGTCCATATGAAGCATGACGCTCCTGTATGGGTATGATTTGTTGAATTACTAAAAATAATTTATCGTTTCATATATATTTTATTTTTAATACTGATGGACTTTTTTGGGTATCTTAATGGTCAATATCAACGATTTTGTGTTACGTTGTGATGGGAGTATGTGTTTGAGTCCAAGCTTCATGAATCCAAGTGGCTACAATTGTCACAATCGTAGAACAGGTCATCTGTATCTTCACAGTCATAGAACTGCTCTTCTGTATCGTCAAAAGGATCTTTTAAAGAATCATATTCAAGTTCATCTTCACGGTCGTCTTCGATAATAATTGTGTTCTCACGAATTTGACGTTCTTCCTCCGTTTCAAAGATAATATCAATTTCGTCCCGAACGTATGGATCCGTGGGAATATTGATGTGAACAGGGAAGATCACATTAAATTTAATAACAAGATCACCCTTGTTTCCATTCGTGTCAGAGAATACTGGCATACCTTCTCCTTTATAAATTATGTTCATGCCGGGTGTGATCACTTTGCCGAGGCCTAGTTGGATGTTCAGTTGGCGGCCATCGATATGCTTAATAAAATTCCTCTTTGAATTTATTCCCACGAGAGCATCTCGTAGCTTAATGTCGATAGAAGCTACTAAATAGTCTTTCTGGCGAGAGAAACAGCCCCATTTATTTCCGACAGTGACCTTGACAAATAAGTCGCCCTTTGTAACTTTGTCGGGCATGACATTACCTTGGTTCTTCAATTGGAACGTGTGGCCAGAATGGACTCCTTTTTAATCGTAACCAACAGAACTATACCAATTGTTTTGACATCATGACAAGCCTTGCATTTCTTATTGTAAGTTTTTACACCTTTTTCATCACAGCCTTGGCACATAACCGATACTCTTTTTTGTTGTAATCCAGGGTTTCCACATCTTTAGCACCATTGCAAGCCTTACAAAGCTTAGATTTCAGGACAGTACTCTCAATACTATTATTTCAAAATTATCATTATGCTAATTTTTTTTTGTATCTTTTTGCTTACCCATGGCATGTATCGCAATTCATCTTCAGGTTGTAGCTAACCCTGATGGGGCTCACGCCGAGATATGCTTGTTTTAATGAGATTTCCGCTGTAATATAGACGTGGTAGTCTGATCCTATGAAAAAAAAAATAGCGGAGTTTCAACATTTTATATCACCAACGTCTTACTCTTAGGAGGTGGTGGTGGAGATGGACTTGGTGTAGTTGGTGGAGCTTTTCGACTTCGCTTCTTGTTTCGTGGGCTTGAGCTAGAAGAAGTAGTACTTGTATTGAAACTTTCGAAATCGAAACCGGTCGGGCGTTTTCTTTTCAAATCATAAGCCCCTTTTTTTTCTTGATCAGACAAAGTCTCATACGCGTTTGAAATTTTTTTGAACTAAGGAAAGTTAATGTCATGAAAGGAAAAAATAAAAAAAAAAAGTTTTACCTTTTCGGTTCCATTGGGGTTTTTATCAGGGTGATAATTTTTGGCCTATAAGTAAGTTAGCTACGCAATCGGTTTATTTGAATATAAATGTACTTACCAATTTATAATAAGCCTGTAATTAAGAAAATCAAAATAAATGAGTTACATTCACAAAAAAAAATGTTACGATGCGTGCATACCTTTCGAATTTCACAGGAAGTTGCGTTTTCAGTAACTCCTAATGTCTTATAATGTGATTTCGTCATTATAATTCTGCTTCTTGTGTATGAATGAGTAAAAAAAAAAAGGGAATGTCTACAACTACGGATTTAATTTTTTTTTACGTACTTTTTTAAATCCCGTGATTTTTTTTAAAAAAATACCACTTCACCTACGTACTTTTTTTTTTCGACGTACTTTTTTTTTTTCTACTTACTTTTTTTTTTCAGTGGATTACTACTTTTAAAACTACAACATTTCCTATTGTAGGTGATACGCTTGCCTCTGCCAAGGAATTTAAAGAGGCCTGTTTTGATGCTGCAGCCCAGAAAGGATTTCAGCTATTCATCCGGTACAGTTCACCCATTGGACATGCTAAAAGGTCAGCCTTTTTTCCATCATGGCTATGTATTCAACAACAAGTACAAGGCCGTTCATACCGAGAACTCCTGCAAAAGAGTTAAAGTTACAATGACTGCGACCTGCGAAATTTTTATCACAGCAGTTTTCCCCAAGATGAATGAAGATCGTTGGATCATTGAATGCCATAACGATGTTCATAATCATGACTTGTTGGAAGACGACAAAAAATTATGTCTTGTCAAGAACCGCCAGCTCCATTACGAACAGCAACGTACGATTGATGAGGTGCACGTTGCAAACGCCAAGACATCCGCTATTGTCGCGGCCGTAAACAACGTCAAGTGCACAAAGACGAGAGAGAGTGCAAAGGACATCACTAACCAATGTGCTCTGTTGAGACGTGCATTAAACAAAGATGAAAATCAACGTCACATGAATCCCTTCATTCGCAACTTGGAAGAGAAGGGGAGCAGTTTATCAAGCAAGTATGAAGAGATTGGAAGGTTGACTCATTTGTTATTTGCCCATATTAGTGCGGTAAACAACATTTGTCAATGACCCGAAGTACTTCTCGTTGACGCCACATACCGTACTATCCTGTTTGGCTATACTCTAATAAATGCCATTTGTGTCAACAATATTAGCGAAAGGATCGAAGATGGGTTTCATCAATTACTCTGTCGATTTGGCATGGGTACGGACGAAACCAACATGACATATGATCGGTTTTTTAAGACACTCAAGACAAAAGTAATGTTTTGACATGGTATCAAAAACGATGTTAAAACTATCGCCGATATCAATAACATCAAAAAGCATGCATTGAATCCCACATGAAACGTAGAAAAGATTGTGAATTTTGTTGACGAATTGTACAAACAACGTGCTTCTTGGGTCAAGCAGTACAGCGACAAGTGTTGCCACATGGGAATTTATACGACCAATCCTGTTGAACCAGCCCACTGTGCATTGAAAGAAAATAATTGCCAAATTGCCAAATGTGCCTTGGCCACAACATTTGGCCAATTAGATATGGAACTCGCCCAACAGAATTTCAAAGTTGTCATGGATAAAGGTTACACGACGTTTTCGGCCGATCCTTTTGTTAAAACCAACTCAATGTTTCGTGAATTGGTGAATGTGGTTAGCAGATTTGCATTTGAGATGATTAAGAAGCAAATCGTAATTTTCAAGAAAGAGATCAGGGATCGCTGCTTGAGACCTTGTTCGTGAGTTTTCGGTACTGTCATGAAGCTACCTTATAGACATATTATACACATGGAAGAATATGACCAGGTTTTCAGCAGCCAGACAAACAGTAATAGATTTGACAACGTAGTAATCCGCAAGGATGTTGTCATTCCTCTCTCTTCTGTGGACGCAAAATGGATTGTCGGAAAACTGGCTTTAAGTAATAACTCGAACCCTCTTGAGAGTGTGCACCAGTTATTGTCAGCAGGTATTATTTTATATTTATAGACAAATGATTTAACTGTTAACAAGCCCATTTGAAACTCTAATAGAAATGTACACTAAGACGAATGCAACTGACACTATTTTGCACACGCATCGACAGGCCATAGAAAAAGTACCATTTGAGCATGCACGAAAAGAAAATCTTGATGCTATCAGCCACATGGATGACAGCATCAATGCTAATCTCGATGTCAAGTTTTACAGCCTTTGAAAAGGATGAACTGGTGGTCAGTAGTCGTAAGTCCGCATAAGAATTACATTATACTCAGTTTATCAGTACTTATACCTCGTTTTATAGAAAAAATTGCAAAGACTGCGAAAATTCTTTCCCAAGGTGAAGCCGTTGAGGCTAAAGTGAAGAAGGTGAACAAACGAAAGCCATCTACTATAAAGAAGCTCAAGCAAGCGACATTCGATGATTCTACCATCATTGATGAGAATATCAATCCTTATATAAGCTTGCTCTGCGTCTGTATGCTTCAGTTTATGCTGACGCACGTCGCTTCGGTGTCAAACGTTCTTGGCGAAGGAAATTGTGGTTTTCGTTCCCTTGCTGCCTCCGTAGGAAGAGATGAAGTCATAAGAGTTGCGCTGTCTCTTGGTGACGAACTCTTAGGTGACTTCAAGAAGGATGAGGGTTTTTACATGGATGTAAGAAGATGCTTATTGAACAACTAACCAATAATTCAACATGTTACGTTAGTTGCTTCTTTGCTGTTCCGTTTTGGAGTACCAGACACTATTAGAATTGATACGTCTCGCTGTAATAGGGAAATGCATGAAAGCCAAATAGAGGATAATGGGCGCTACAGGTAATTATAATCGAATCACCTATATATAAGTGCTATCATACTTATTAATGTAAGCTTTGGTTATCTTATTGCTGATGTGTACAGCCGCCCAGTTTATTGTTTTTCCAGGAAGGAGTCAAATACCATACTTCCAAACTGCATTTTAAATGGAAATATACCGGTCAGCTTCGTATTACACGATGATCACTACACACCTGTCGTATTTGGGTACGATTCAATTAAGAATAATTAAGCAATTTTTTTTGGATAAACAAGCTATGTAATTAAAACAACCTTGGATGTCGCATACCAGAAAACGCTTGTATACTGCTATACAACTTTGCCTACTACGAGTAAACTAAAAAAACGTATCTTGTACGATTTTTAAGCGCTGACAAACGATTTCATAATCCGGAGTTTACCAGCAGTAAGACAATCATTATCGTCATTACCAGTCAATTCAAATTCTTGATAAAATGGAGCCCATAGCTGACCAAAATCCACATTACCTGCGTAAAGAAACAGATGGAAATAATCAGCTTCAGGAATTTAAAGAGGTGCATATCGGATCCACCTACTTGTCTATTTGCTGGATATCATATTCGGTTATTCAGAACTGCAACGATAATGAGATGCGTCATACCAAGTTAATGAATCCGTCAATCACAACGGTATCATCAAACTGCGATACAATCAGGGTTGGTACACAATAAATCAGCCAATCCCACCACTCAGCAGAACGATAAAGTGCCTTGACATTTTTAGGCTTCATTGCTAACCAACCTCCTTTCAAACAAGATGCTGGTATAAGTTCTCTAGATCCTTTCTTGCTCTTTTTGATGGCGGTGAACAATGTTATAAGCAATTGCAATGGATAATCTGTTGCCTTTCCACAGTACTTGAAATGAAGGTTGAAATTTGGAGAAAGCATCGAAAAATCATCTTTGGCAATGTTAGAATACAGATGCATCTCATCAATTGGATGAAAAGCAACCGACGTTAAAAGGACTAGATCAATAAAAACCCTAGGAAGATTAATGTCGTAGTCGTTATTTGCCTAATCTAATTAAATGATAAATGGAGGATAACATGCGCAAACACTATCATACTTACATAGACTTTCGCTATCGTATTTTTTCAACAAACTATCCCCTAATCTTAACAACGCTTTTCGATCCTGAAAATACATACCATGGATCCCATCGCCAACAATCCCGTCTTTGTTTTTTATATCGCCTCTATGCTTTTTCTTTGTCAAACAAAATCTGCAGCCATATGTTGAACAACGACCACCAAAATTCATCAACTCGTTACATTGAACACCATCACCAGAAACATACATAGTCCTTACTCTAATAATTGTGACCTGCTGTCGGTTTTGCTTGACCAGAAGAGGCTTGGAGTGTAATTCAGATAATTCTTTGATAATTGGTCGCAGATACGAGTTAAGATTGATCTTGACTTTGCCAAAAAAAACATAACCAATTTGGAAAGTATTTTGTAGAGTAAAACGCTATGATGATGTAAGTGTACCTCAATTTTGGTGGGGTCGTTTTTATGTACTTCCGAAATATCATAGTTTGAAATTACACAATGGAGCATCGTCATTCTCGTGTTCGAAAACTTGTTGCGAAAGCCATCAATGTCAATCTTTAAAGCAATGTCATGCTTATTGTCAAAATGCCCATCGTTTACAAATTTCGCAAAGAGCTCTCCATCAAAGGCATCGCTGTAAAATGTTTCTTGCGATGGTTGCGATACTTCTGAGTTGGAGTATTCTTCAAATTGGTATGTTAGTCTTTCTCTTACATCATCACAAGCTAAAAGCTCGGGAAAGTTGGCTGCGATATTTATGGTGTTTAGCTCTTTCTTGATATTTCTAGAACAATCACAAATGGGACATAAAATAAGATCAACATCGTTTATAGCGTCATACAAGTAGCATCCATTAGTAGCAAAAACTTCATGCTTGTTCACAAGATTCATCGGTACCACACGTTTGATACGTTTATCACAAGCTTCACGTCCAAGTAACTTGCTCAATTTCTCTATGGTGACAAATATCTCCCTCCTCACAAATATTTGAAAGGCGGATACTGTATTCTTGAGCTGGACTGAAGGGATTGGATGGAATAAAGACATCACGGACAGTATAAATATACTCGTCGTCTTGGCACCAAGTGGGAATATTTTCAGAAACGACTCAAAATATGGGCCATGTAATTATCATTTCTTTCAATTAATTATTTTATTGTACATATCTTCATTATTGTCACTAAACGAATTCATCTCTGGCGCATCAAATCCAGCAATATCTTTGAAATCATTCGAGTCGGTGAAAAATGGATCTTCCAAAATTTTATCATGCTCTTCATGAACCCTCTCATTGTGGTCTAACCCTTCAAAGTTGAGATAGCTAGGAGGACTTTCGCGGGGAGCATCCTTAGACATGTTATGGGTATCTGTTGGAACAGATCACGAATCAGTTTGAGCAAGACTTTCAGAGTACCCGGACAAGCATTTAAAAAGCACAGCCGTAGGAGCATTAGTTCGAGCTCTTTTATATTTTCTTTGACTAGTGTTGTTTGGGGGCGTTTGCATTGTAAATATATTGGTGCTTTAATTTTTCGGTCGATTTTCCTCATCTTTTTATATCCAAAAATAGACGCTTTGCTTCGGGCTTGTTCTATATTAGGTGGTTTGTCATTTTCAAACACGCATAACGAGCTATAACTTATAATACGTCGAGGGTGTTACGGTGCGTCGTTACCTCCTATGGAATGTTTGGTATAAAAAGAGTACTCTTCGACATTACAAACAAGTTTACATTTGTGTCAAACGAAAAAATTCATTTTTTTGTCAGTCGGAATGACCATGTCAAATATTCCCATGTAAGTTAGTAACATACCCAGTGCATTGCTTACCAGTCTTTTAAAATCTCTTTATTTTATGACGCGTTAACACTGTCAATGATTACGAGTAATCCATCACTGCCAAGTTTCCGGTAAATACGTTGCAGAATTATCCCAAGCCTGTCAAAATTGCCTGATTTGTGATGACAGCCGGTTTCCATTTTTACCTATTTGGGAAAGATTACCGAATTGGAAAGTATAAATGCATTTTAATTTTTTTTAACTACATCTTTAGAATACTACATAAACTATGCTTGATACCAACATCTATGACTACCAAACTTCTGCTACGGAAGGATTAGATTCTTCCTTTAATAGTCTCTTTCACTCTGCCTCCCGCTCCTCTTTCGGTCACGATCCTGTTGTAGGTAAAGTGCAATCTCTTAAACATGAAGTTATGGAAATGACGAACAGCATTACAGAGTTAAGAGAAATGATTAAGCACATGGTTGGTCGCTCACAGGTTGCTGGTAAGATAATTTTAAAGAAAGAAATACATCAAGAAATGCTAATTCGGTTCCAAGGTATGTCTGGTTTTACTGATCAAGAAGGAAACACGGAATTAAGAAACTTACCCAGCAAATCTATACCGAGGAGAAGAAAAAGGCTTTGTTACAGAACCCGAATCGTTTAGGCCAACGTGTTAAAGCCAAACCCTCAGGTGTCTCTGCAAAGAACCAGGTCATTGAGGGCTCGAGAACCTACTAGGAAATCGACCACAATATATTGGAAGGTGGTCCTGTTGCAACGGATATCTGCGAACTGGAACGTCGATACAATTTGACATACAATGCGATGAAAACTTTCGTTACCGTTTCTTTGTCAGAATTTGCTCACACGCAAAGACATCTGCCTTGTTCTTTACGTTGATGGGTTTCCCAACCAATCCAAACCTAGAAGCTCTCGAACTTTAGTCAATTTCATGGTGATGAACATTCCGCATCTAAGGGTGTTCTCAAGCAAAAAAAATTTGTGAACCCCTCTTTTTGTAAAATCTTGGAACCCCCCCAAATTAGGTATAGTGTATGACATCAGGGCAGATTTTTGTCAGATTACTATCCTCCTGTAACTTTTTTTCTTTTTATTATTTTTTTCCCATAAATTTATTATTATCTTTGCCAAAATGTCTACTTTCGAAGAATCACTCAATGAGTTTACAACTGTTTACGAAGAATCAATGACGCTCATTAACATGAATGTAGCCGCAATTCAGTGGTATATGGAACAACGTCAGTTGGAGATCAACTTGCTTCACGAAACTTTTCTTTTTTATTTTTCTTCAGTTTTTGATGTACCTTCCTTTTTTCATGCCTTACCCTTCCTATTAACTGGCACACGTTCAACTCGAGTTCGTCCAAACAACAATGGAACGTTTTCCAACTATCACTACTGGACAATCACGCACCCTTTTCTCGCTGACGATGACAATCCACGCACTAGTTTTCGAGCAATGTATCGCATGAATCTTAGCAGCTTCGAAAGACTTGTCAACGACCTCAGTCAGCATCCAGCATTTGATCTGCTAGCCCACAACAGCATCCCCGCATACATCCAGATTTCATGTGCTATATGGCGCTTAGCCAACTGTCATATTGGTTACAGAACTAGTAACATGGCTTTTGGTGTATCGCATGGTAGTTATATCAACTTTTTCCGAAGATTTTTGGTTGCAATCGAAGGGGTATACGGAGATCTGATCAACTGGCCCATGGATCAGCAAAGGGTTGAGGAAATTCAAACGGGTTTTGAATGGCCTCATGGTCAAGAAGAAGGGGCTATCCGTCGTTTGCCCAAAGCAATAGGAGCACTCGATGGTAAAAATGTTGTAATTGAGTGTCCTAGAGATCACCCAGAACATTGGCGTGATCGAAAGGGTAACTTTGCGATGAAACTGACAGCAATCTGTGACAACAAATGCCGTTTCACGTATATCCGTGTCGGTGACTCTGGTAATAGCGAAATATTTATAACATGTTGATTGCCTTACTGATATGTATTTATAGGTCGCACCCACGATGCAGGTGCTTTCAAGTGGACTGAAGTGTACACCCAGTTTTTACGACAGCCAGCAACATTTTTCCCTTTGGACGGTTACATTCTTGCAGGTTATTTATATACTGACTATAAAGTTAACATATAATTTACTTACACACCCTCTTTAGATTCTGCATATGCTCTCTGTCGTAATGTAATCGTTCCATATCCTTTGAGTGAAGTATCAGGCAATTCTGACGAGGCCGTTGCCAAACGCAAATTCAACAAGGTCCACTCTTCAGCAAGAATGACCATCGAAAGGGCTTTTGGAATACTCTCAGCTAGATGGAGGTTCATAAAAAAACACGTCTACATGAAGAAGATTAAAGATATATGCCAAGTCATTACTGCGGCTTGTATCTTACACAATTTCTGTATCAACATTGGGGATCCAGATTTTGAAATTGACGAAGGAATCGAGATGGATGAAGATGAAGAGGGGAATGGCGAAACAGCTCGAGAGTCTGTTCGTACAAGAAGAGATGAGTTGAACCGATGGTTTCAACCTAGACAATAAAGAGGTACCAAATGTAATTTAACATATGTATTAAAAAAAGAATATCTTTATTGATTGGGTCTTTGTTGATGCATACGATTATGCAACTCGTTTAATCTATCACCGTTTCGTTCCAAAGCAGCTGTAGCTCGGTTTAAAGAAGCAATGATTGCTTCTCCCGTAGGATCTCTTCTTCCTAATCGTGAATCCATATACTCTCTGAACTCTCGAAATGTTCCATTACGAAGCTCGTGCTCTCTATCAACAATGCGATTAAGCATAGCTTCAGTGTCAGAGGTCGTGGTAGATGGTGTAGAGCCTACGTTTGATCTTGGACGACGAGGTGGCGCAGAAGAAGGATTGGTAGGTTGAGGGGCGGGAGAAGGATTGGGTGGTGAGGTCGTAGAAGGATTGACAGGAGGAGGAGGAGTACTGGAGACGTGATCGGGAGGGGGTGTTTCCACTCTTCTGCGAGAAGAAGGTGGTTGCGATTCCTGAGGAGGAGCAGGACGTTCATGTTCTGCAATAGGTACAGACGAAGATTCAGCTGGAGCTGTAGATGATCCTTGATTTCCACCATTAGTATTGTCAACGAACTGTCTGGAATGGGATGAGTACGTGTGTGGTGGCAAGATGGTGGGAAATTTCGTCAAGATCTCTTCCAGCTTATCATAGACAACATCAGGTTCGAAACCTGATTCACCCGTTGATTGGCGTCTAGCAAACTCTTCCTTGAAATCTTTCACCATACGCTTCCATTTTCTTTTTTGCTCCTCTGATGGTCGACTTCTCAAATTCTGAAGGCGAGCCAGTTGATTATGTTCAATCGACATCTCCGTGTATTTCTCCCCCTTTTCGTGATCACTTTTGGTTTTTTCAAGAGAACTCAAATGTTTATTATAAATTTGAATTAACAAGCATTCTTCTGCTACACTCCAATTTGGACCTCTTGTTCTGTCGTCCTCAATAGGAGCACTGGAGGTGGAAGCAGTTGAACTGGAAGGGGCGTTGAAGTTGATGGTACCGAACATTGTTTATAAAGGTAAAGTTAATATTATTTGCTAGTTTTGAATATCAAAAAATAAAGAAAAGAAAACAACAAAGTAAAAATTATTATGATCATACTGTCAACTAGTGGGGGCATTTTAGTATTTTTTGAATGATGAAAGCATTACATCAGAGGGGTTCGTAAATCCATTTTCGTAATTAAACCACCCCCTGATGGTGGTTTATCTTTTAAAATGGTTAGCAAGAATTTTCGACGTTTTTTGGCTGAGGAGTATGAAAATATAAGGTTATAATTGCCTTATGGAGGGGGTTCCAAGATTTTACAAAAAGAGGGGTTCACAAATTTTTTTTGCTTGAGAACACCCTAAAAGGTTTAGAATTTAAATTTACTTGTATATGTTATCTTAATCAAACTCACCTTTTCGTTGTTAGAGCAAAGGAGTCGATGATGATAGCACTGGCTATTTTACCTGGCCCAAAAAGCCCAAGTATTGGATGAATTGATTGAAGCCAATCATCGAGCAAATCAATTCGTTGTGTGCATCAGGATTCGTCTTGGAAAAAAACAATTAAATTGTTCACGAAAGTAAGGTATTCTTGCTCGGAATGACTGATTATATTCCAGGAATGGCGGACTTGATGAATCGTCGTGGACACACAAGCAAATATGGTTACAGAATTTGCAAAGTGGTTGGCAGACATCCTAAAGGTTACCCTTATGTTATGTACTTGTTGGATGCAGGTGATATGAGAACAAAAGACCGAATTAAGCAACGGCGATCCGGTAAATTATTAAAAGTGTGCACCAATATTTTTAACATTTTAAACCAGTATGAATTAGGGATTCGATATGGTTGGTATTGATCCTGGGATTAACTATTATTCGACCTTCACGGGTACATCTTTGTTTCTTGGTGACGATATTCATTTGATCGGTAGAGGACTTGGTACTTTGGTCTACAATCTTTTCGATCCCAAGAAGATCAAAAGGTACCGTGAATCTATCACTACAGATGCACACCTTTGGTTTGAACGCGCATGATAACACTATCATCAAAAAATCTGAAGAAAAGGTAAATCAGGGCAGGTTTTACAAAACATCAGCTTCTGAGGGAACTTCGGATGGCAGTGTAGGTATTGTAAGAGCTATCGTTTACGACGACTTCTCTTATACGTTGTCCCGACTATTGTGCTTCCATTGGTCCAGAAAAACTAAACCAAATGTGCGTTGGGGGAATTGGTGGAAGGATATTCTATTATTTTGTAGTGTCGGATTTCTCGTAGGGACATTGCAAAAATGAAAAGGTAACATCACAATCAGAGACTAGATATTAAATATTAGACATTAACGCAGATATTTAGATGATTTAGAAGTTAGCATACGTTTTTAAATAAAGAGATTCTTGCAAACTGTATCAATGCTCGAGTGTTCACTGCCAATAACCGTTATTTTACGCTTTTGCCGTATTTGATTCAACAAGTGGGGCGATTAAAATGCTACTCTTACCGACCAATGGAGGGGAGAGTTCGGAATTTCACCAACTTCATCAAGTCAACGCATTGTATAGGGGCAAATACTCGTAACGACCTTCGTCACCAGGCTAATTATAACAAGATGGCGGTTAGGTATCTGTAGTTCATTGAATCCCAGGAATTCACAGATCCTCCAGACACCTACCGCTCGAATTCCTCCGGTGCTGAAGTCTAATGTTCATTGGTACTTCAATCTTTGCTTGGATCGGATTGGAAGGATATATGCTTCGGTGTCCCGAGATTGAAGGTGATCGATGCACTGATGTCCCTTTTTGATGATAATGTTGTGGATGAAATCAAACAATCGACCTCGTCATCCATTGTGACTACAAGTCGTTCATGAAACGATAACTTCAATTATCGACATAACCTTCAAAATCTTAAAGACAATAGGTAATAATATTGTCTTTTTTCATGTTACCAAAAGTACTGGTCACAAGTGAGCAAATAACATTTGATATACTTTACTGGTACTGACAGCATACACTTTAGATCCATTTAACTCTCGTTTGTCGGTGAGATATACTGCTAATTTAGACACAAGCAAGAACGTAAGGACAATTTCTTGGCTAGGGTTTAAGTGACGCAGCAGCAGAAATATGACGCTCACAATATTTTGACAGTTGCTCGGAATTCCAGGTATGACAGAGACAAGAAGTACACTGTCATTTCCATTACAGACTTTCATGAAGTCTTTGTTGTCGTAGGGTATTCCCATTCCGCTAGCATTTTGAAAATTGTTTGGTCGTACATTTAATGTAATGACAAGGTTAATCATCGCCTTGGTGGTTGTTTAGCTGATTTGTAAGTTGGTCGTATCTTTCTCTGTTTGACGTAGACAAGTTTTTTTATAATTAAACTCTCGTCAACAATTCATCTAATTGAGTGATCACTATTTCATTCAATCTGTTGTGTTAATTGGCATTGTGTTATTCGGCAATGCTTATAAAATAAAAAAAATTGGAAAGGAAAAAAAATATTAAAAAAAAATTATTTTCCGATGGTCGTGTATTTTATACACCAAGCTGCGTCCTTCCGCGGCTGTGTGAATTGCCTCTCTGGTTATAATGAGATCATTTGGCTCTCCTACGTAATAGTAAAAATATCACCCAATAATGTTGAGGGTTGGGGAGCAGCTGTTGATTACGAGCAATGGCGATTAATAAGTGGTCATCTCTTTTTGTTTTATTTAATTGACGGAATGAGAATTTTCATGTCTTAGGTGACACTGTTTTTGCTAGTAAAATATAACAAGTCCTAATTTTAGTGGCTTAGAGAAAACTTTTTTTTTAAGACAAGGGCGTTTTTTTTCTTTTCTTTTTCTTTTCTTCCCTATACCAGTCTTTAAAAAATGCTAGTACACCTTTTTTTCGACGAGTAAGTATATTAATCCCAATTAACATGTTCAATATATAACTGATCCTAATGTTGACATTCAATAGCCTTCTGTGTGAAATAACACATCTCGCCCTTTTCTTCTCAGCTTTCCCTTGGTTTTTGGCCAGGTTTGGTTTTTTTTTCCGCGTGGAAAAAAATTGTTTGGTCTTTTGGCTTTCTTTGGCGTCAGGTAGTAGGTCTTCGACCCAACCGTCCTTCTCCCCCCGAGGCAATTGGGGAATTGTACTTTTGTACTGGTCGGGGTTTTTACCCCATCTCCTTGCGAGATCAAGTACCTGTTTCGCCCTTGCCTGATGTTTCTCCTTGTTCCTCTGCTGGTGCTTCTGCTTCCGCTCCTGCTTGCTCTTCCCCCGCGGTCTCGTCTCCTGTTTGTGAGGTTCCACGCCTGGAATTTTCCTTTGCGTCTCGTCCTCCAGCAATCATAAAAGACGAACGTAAATGTCATTTTCTTGACTGTGCTTTTGCTCGTGGCTTGCCTTGTGTTGGTAGTGGTGTGATGCCTTCTTTTGCTCCACTCCCCCAATACCATCCTTCCGTTCCTGTCTTTGCCCTTGTTGGCGAATTGATTAGTCAGTCTTGGCTGGCTGAGAACGCGGCTTGTCTTGGTTTGGAGGATTCGCCTTCTTCTTCTGTTGCTGGTTGTTTGGCTGTTGCCACGTCCTCCCCGTTTGTACCTTGCTCTGAGGTCACATCATTGGATTGTGGCACGTCGTCACCTATTGTTTCTGGTAGCTTGACTCCCTTTGTCGAGCCTTTGCCATCCTCGAGTGTAGTTGAGTCTTCTCCTGTTTCGGTTGCTCTGACTGTGGCTTCGGCCCAGCCTGTGGGTGTTGATGCTGGACCTGTGGCTGTGTCGGGACCTGTTGCTGTTTCTGGACCTGCTAATGTCCATCCTTGCGATGCTGTCTCTCGTCCTGTTGCCGTTCCGCGTCGTCTTGCTGTTCCTCGTCCTGTTTCTTTGGGTCGTCGTGCTGGTGTTTGTCGTTCTGCCGGCGTTGTTACTGCCTCCCCTTCTGTTGTTGTTTCTCCTTCTGTGGGCCTTCCTTCTCCTTGCGAGAATTTAAACTCTGGAGGCAAAAGAAAAACTCCTCCTCCCTCCCCATCATCATCGTCTCGTCGTCGACTTTCCGGTTGTCCTTCTTCGGACATGGTGTCTTTGGCTGTTTCTTCTGCGCCTGTGGTCTGTTCTGTGCCTGTGGTCTGTTCTGCGCCTGTGGTCTCTTCTGTGCCTGAGGTCGCTTCTGCGCCTGTGGTCTCTTCTGTGCAAGTGGTCTCTTCTGCTCCTGTTGTCTCTTCTGTGTTTTGTGTCTCTTCTGTTCCTGCGGTCGGTGTCGTTGAGGCCTCCTTCATCTCTGTTTCCCCTGCGCGACCAATCGCCATGCCTTACGTGGCCCATTATCAAAAAGCCAGGGAGAGACAGAGTTTGAGGGACCTCTTCGACGCCGCCGAAAAGGAAGGTAAGTTATTTTTATTTGTAAACTTTTTAAAAACGTTCGATTAATTAACTATTGTTATTTTGTAGAAGAAGAGGAGTTAAATAAGGAGGAAGAGAAGAAGAAGAAAAATTCTCTGTTTCGGGGAAGAAAATAAATTTCTTTTTATAAAAGCTTAAATTACTGGGATCAGTTACTACATATGTCTTTTGTTTGATTGGGAACTTGGTATTTATTTTAAAACGAGAATTTCAAATGAAGTCAATCCATGCTAAAGAATGAGATTGCTTCATTGAGCATCTTACTCATTTGTCCAACGACTAGTCGGAAAAGGAACAGTAGTGCGATTTTAAGGGCCCTTACAAGCAATATACTTATTTTTTTGAAGTTCCCGATTCAAAAATTTATTACTTTTTTTTTGAATCGTTACTTCAGACTTCAAAAAGAAAGCTTTTTCCAAACTCCATGACGTCGCTTTTTAATGACTCTTTTTAAACGATTATAAGATAAAGTTTACTCAAAATCGTAACCTATCTATTATTATATTTCAAGGACTCTATTTTTGCGATATAATTTTTATTTTTAGATAAAAAAAAATTGAACGTATCCCAAATTGTTACCGTAGTTGCTGAATTGCTATTAGTTTTATTTGGACTTGATGATGATACAGTGCATATAATATATAATGTAAAACTTTGGCTCCGATTTTAACAAAAAAAGGAAAACGCTATCTGCCCCATGAATTTAACATGTATCGTGAATACGGCTCAATTCCGTTCTTTATTACAGACTTCTTCATAAACTAATAGAGTGCGATTTTTTTATTTTCACACAATATATTTTATAGATGGTAAAACAAAATTTACCATTTATAGTGGGGAGACACGAAGATTTCCGGCAGCTTTTCACAGCGCAAACATTCATAAAAATATATCAGATATATCCCGGTTAAATGTTTTCAGCAAAATATTTTATTCTTCTGTCAAAAAAAAATGGGGATCCCCTTCCGGTCGCTAATCCTGTTTTTTAAAGGCGTATTAGACAGTCCTTCCTGACCATATATTTTTGTACCTATGCTTAACCTTCAGTAAAAACACATGGTTCCCAGGAGGGTAAATCAATTGGATATGTGCATGAATGTCCCACGTTTATACATTATCAATGATACAAAATAGCGTTAAGAAAAAAAAACTTAAAGAGTGCATCATCATATCTGAAAGAGCCTCGAAAACTATGTAATCTAACCTTTCTCAAAATGAAATCACTTTCAGCTTCAATTTTATGACCAAACGTTAAAAAACGTAATGATAGTAAAAAACACAAGTACATTTTTATCCTAATTTTTGGCTTATCATATTGCAAGATTTCATTAGATAAATCGTTGCACAACTTGAATCTTTAATGATTAATCGTTTGTTCCAAACTTACACATCTGGCTTCACGAATGCTAACGTTCATCTTTGTTTGTATTAAAAAGTGTTCTTTAATAACTCAGCATTGCTTTGACGTCACGCAATTATAAAATAAAGCTTTCTTGCCAAACAAGCGAGTGTCCAAGACAACCATTATCAGTCCATATATGGTAATATAAATGTTAATTTACTTTTTTTTTCACCCATTTCTTAGGCTACTAGAATAGTAAAGTCCGTCTAATACACCAAAAATATGAAAACCACCACTTGTGATGAGGTCACGGTGACTGATATGTGTAACTCAAGCCATCCAATGGGTATCACAGCCAGAAGCAAAGCGTATAAGAGGCTCTGCCAATCAAACCACACCATCCTCATATTAAAATATAATCATACTAATAGTTTCAGAAAATCAAATATCAATTAACGAAGTTCAGAATAAATAAAATATAAATTATCTTAAATCCCAATTTCTACGTTTTTCAATACTTTCCTTGTTAGTTGGAGAGTACTTTATAATCAATAAGGCGCTCAGATAGTTTAATTTATTAAGCCAAGGGGTAATTGGAATCCCCTTACAACACAGCTGTGGTAAGGCGATAGTTTAGAGCACGAATTACTCTAGCGCCTCAATAGCTCTCTGTGATGGTTTTTTGAAGCTAACCTTGTGACATGATACGAATAGATTATATCTTGTGGTAGTCTAAGTTGTACTATGCACTACTCAGTGATATTATAAAGTCGTAGTTTCTTCTAAATTAATAAAGTTTAAGTCCTTTCTCATCCATAATCTCACCAAACAGTACATCATCCTAACGTGTGCGGAGTGTTGTTTTACAGTCAAGATAGTTTCCGGAAAAAACGTTTTATTAAGTCAATAGATAAATCAAATCTAGATACAACATTTAAGGAGTAGCTGGGCTTACTTAATAGAACGAAGCAAGTCGAACGAATACTGAAAGAATCAACAACTTAAAAATATTGTAGGTAATTACAACAGTGAAGTCGGCCTACCACCTGGGTCATAATTGCAAATAATATCGTATTTAAGAATCATACCATTAAGAAATATGTAGACCGTAACACGTCCGTATTAATTATTAATAAAACAAAATACAAGCAAATCACGATGGCCACTGGAAGACCAATAATCGGTCCCCACCTATGTTTTCTGAAACGGGTAGAGTCAAGGATTGATTACTCTTTCTTCAAGACTTTGAGAAATTCTCCAAGAGGAACAACCGGCGTACTGGCGAGAGGAAAAAGGACACTTTTCTTTTATGTCTGGCTGGTCATGCTGAAAGATGGATGAAAAATCATTTGACGAATGATAGAAAGAACTTCGAAAGCCTACTATATGATGAAGGTACCTAGGATTGTATCTTGGCCAAGTTCAAAAAACATTACATCACGGAGGAATGGTGTGACTTATATACCACGCACTAGGTGAAACGTGTTCAATCTAATGAAGCGACACATTTGGAATTCATGGAGATGAAACGTTGTCATATGCAACGTGCTGGTCCTGATTGTATTGATCGTACTGAAATGCAAAACGTCAGAGATATTATGAAAGGTTTATTACCTCACGTTCGCATTTTTGTGACAGGAAGCTCGAGCAGCCTTCGAATAAATAAGATAAGAAGACTCTCGATGGTTTTGATGGTTTGGAGAACTTGCTTTGCTGTGCAGAGAGTTGTCTGTACGATGACCGTACGTTTTTGAATGTTACATTTTATAACGAAAGTCTCTTGGGTAGTACTCCAGTAAATACTTTACGCAGAATTGAAAGAAATTCGAGTCGCACAGACCTTTTCAGTCGTACAGGCAATAACAGCAAGTCCAATATGATGGATTTTCAACGACTAGTATTGGCCAAGTTTGAAAAGCTCGATGTCATTGAAAATGAACTAGCCGTGATCAAGGATCTTGTTGACATGATGGAGAAGAACAACCATACTCAAATGGGTCAGTCCACCTATTCAGGTTACACTGGTAACCATGGTACAGGTGGAAATAAATTAAGGCGTTACAATTGTGATGGTGTAGGACATTTCGCTATGAATTTTAACTTTGTGTCTAATACTTGTGAATAGGCTAACCATTCGTCTTTTGACTGTCCCAATCGTAATCATGAGAACCGTGGTGAAGATCAAGCAAACATTTCCTTTCAAGAGCAGAAGGATTTTAAGAAAAGCCCCTAGAGGCTTAGAAGTAGAGGGACAATCCAGTAAATTAGTCCTAAAGCAAATAGTTCATCGATACACGTTATCAAACACGGAGCCAAAGTTGAGGAACACAAGGTATATGCAACTGGTACTACGAAGAAGACTCCAGAAGAGTATAAAGCGATTAGGTTACAGAACTTACAGAAAACAAGAAAGGCCAAGGAAGAATACAAAAAAACCTTGATGATGAAACAAAGCAGCGGGACAAAATCCCACCGTCGATCGTGAGAAACCTGGAGCGGGGATACCCTATCATGTTCGACAATGAAAAAAATATGGAACAACTGGATCTCAAAAAGCAGTTAAGGGATACGCAAATACCCATTGCTTTACCTTAACTGTTATATTTCGCACCTGAACTGTGATATAAATACCTTAATATACTAGATGGTCAGACCTCGACTAATAGGACGAAATCGATGGTCAAAGGTACGGCTAAGTCTATGAAGATTGACAACGATGAGCTACCAGCGGTGAATATGATCATCTTGGATGCGACCAGTTTGGTTCCGGATAGAACTAGTCTACAATCAATGCTAGTCATTAAAGAATACCAACGCAATTGTGAGTTTCTGATCAATGGTGGTGCTGTAGTATCAATAGTCCATTGGTACAAGGTCAAACAATTGGGAAAGGAATTATCAGTGTTACCAACAGATAGAGTTTTCGGATTCGCAGGCGTGGAAATTGATATTCCAATTGGTGTGGTTAAGCCAGACTTGCAATTTTCAACTGAAGTTACAATTCACCATTCATCCTGTAAACGTCAGCCTCCTTTGGCTCCAACCTTCATTGGCATGAATTTTATCTTCGCAACCAAGGTAGCAAGAAATCGACATCTGAACAATTTGGTGTTTACCTGTCAGGAGCGGACAGGCGGACAGAACAGACAGAAGAATACTTCCTTAGAAGAATAAAGGATAATCATTATTTATTAGAATAGAGAGAGAAAGAAAGAGGGAGAGAAAGAAGAAGAGAAAAGAGAGACTTATCAGAGAATTTATCTGATGAAGGGGATAAAAGAAGAGGAAAATTTAGGATATATTTGTAGTAGAGGATTATATAGTTATTTAGTATAAAAATAAGCAGTGACAAAGTTTCGTAAGTCATTACTTATTTATGACCGATGTCATGATTGATGGCTGAGACGTAGATGACCAGGTGCCGACAAAGAAATACCTAAATTAATGCATCTACGTGACACGTTCATGACATTACCTCTGATGAAACCAACAAGCTGTATGGAATCACTACGCCCCTGCTAGTAAAAAGTTTGACTTGGCGATAGAAAATGATAGGAATGCTATGGCTGGAGTTGCGACCGTCTCGGATAACAAACGTAACCCAGAGTTCAAAGACGTATCAATGGTTTACAAATGGGTTTTCGAACCTGGGGAAAGTCATTGGTATGGGTGAATTTATCTGAACCATCCACCAACTGGATCTAAGACATGGTCGTACAGCCTTCAGGGGATGTTTATAAGAAGTACGGGTTATATATTATGCCAAAGGTGATGGAACGTTCTGATGAAGACAAGCCTTACCGTATGGTAGTAGCGAATATGACGGTAAATGTCGTAAAACTAAGAAGAATACGGTATTGGGACAACTTTTGAATAAAAGTAAGGTACCTTTGGGAGTGACTTACATGCAACAGACTGAGAAAATCACAGATGTTATTACAAAAATGAATATTAATCATCATGACAGTTGCCAGGTCATCAATGCTCCATCGATCTTGAAAGGCACGATCTTTGAACCGACGAAGAAAGAACTGAAAACCTTGGGTATTATAAACATTTTGTTAGAGGTTGGAGCAAACGAAGCGAAGTCAAGCGTATATCATATCACGTACGGATCGGAGGATGATGGTAAATCAAATGTATGTGCAGTAGGTGAGGACGATTCTGAAGTGTGGGATATCATCCACAGTTAACATGAAGTCAACGGGAAAAGATAATCACTGTGTTGAAGAAACATGTGTCGGTCTTTGCTTCTTCTAAAGAAATAAAATCCTGGAAAGTTGAACCATAAACCAAAAAGATTAAGAATGATGTTAAAGCCATAACAGTCGCTCCTAGAATGCTTCCTATTGCGGCAAATAAATGGTCAAAAGGCTATCGGAAATAACTAGCCGATTTAGACATGATAGAACCATGCTCAGGTCCATGGGCAGCCGCAGTAGCATTAGTGACTAGTACTTAGGATCAACGAGCTCCAAGAAACACATTTAAGAAAGTCCGGAAAATACCTGAATAAATATCATCACCGGGAAATCAATAAGCAAAAACGATGTGGTCAATTTCAATTAATACGTTTAACGAAGTGGTCGAATTGAGCGATGAAGAGGACGTCAAGATTAGCTCTATGGAAAAGTTACAGTGTTGCGGGGAAATAAAACTATCTCTTCAATGATCAATTAATTCGAGATATAAGACTTATCGGGGCTGCAGAAATCGAGCACAATTATAAGTAAGGAAACAGATGTATTTTATTCATGATGGTTTTACCTGCAGAAATCGAGCACAATTATAAGTAAGGAAACAGATGTATTTTATTCATGATGGTTTTACCTGCAGAAATCGAGCACAATTATAAGTAAAGAATCCTAACTCGTGCTCAATTCCTCAGGTATTTATATAAAAAAAAAAGTAAACAAATAACGCTTGCGTTCCGTAACAACAGTATGCTAAACGTGGAGCCTCCGAATCCGGATTAAGTAGTGGTATTCCTTATTAACTGGCTGGTAAAAAAGGATCGACACCGACTATGTCTTAACTACAAACCAATCAATTTAGCGGTTAAAGACGCAGGACATCCGATTTCTAACATCAATTTTCTGTTTACATTACTGGCTAAGGCAGAATATTACTCCGTATTTGATTGTCTTGAAGGGTTTTCGCAACTCGAAATCAATGACGATTGTGGTGAAACACAAAATATATAACGATATAAACTACATAAATAAAAACGGCTACATTCAATAATAAATATACACAATTGCATAATAAAGAATACAACCAATAAAATACATAATATCATTTAAGATAAGGATATGACAGTAAAATATCCTTACACCATTTTACCATTAGTCATGGACAGGGGTATAATTTCTATAATAAGGAAACAGAAAAAGAAAAATCTGTGTTAACTCAAAGAGTATCTTCAAATCCAAATATACCTCCTGTAATCATTAAAGATAGACAGCCATTTGTTCTGTGTCACGTACACAGAATATAGTTTCTCAAGCATAAGATACTGATAAGCACATTAACTGCTTATCACAATTATATATTATTAACGTCTAAAAATTCATATAAATAGGATAATTTCTAGATACATAGTTTTCCCTTTGGTTTATTGTGAACCTTTAACCTTGAATAAAACGACACTGGATACTTAACTTATTCCCTGTTTTTATTTTTATTCTTTTTACTTGTCTGTGTAGACCAATCCCGTTGACCTCAATGATAGTCGTGATTATAGTGGATTTTCAACAACATTCCGTCAATATTGATGGAAATGACTTCCTATGGACCTAAAAGGTAGTCCACAAGCGTGGCAATCTTGTGTACATTCTATCATTTCGAAGAGCTATATTTGTCCGTTTTAATATACATTGATGATGAGTTAGTCTTTTCTAAATCGTTAGAAGAGCATGTGGACCATTTAGATATCATCTTGTCAACGCAAAAGCAGCAAATTTGTCATTATCACTCTCTAAATGTAAGTTTGGCTACCAAGAGGTAAAACTACTAGGACTTTTGGTGGGTAAAGACGGTTTTAAGATGGATACAGACCGGATCGCCAAATTTGTAAAATGGCCACGACCTAAGAATGTGACAGAGATTAGTCGGTTTGTAGGGATGCTACAATACTATCGAAGATTTCTGGAGATCTATCAGGATTGATATCACCAGTGAACAAGCTCAAAACGAAGAATGTTTCTTTCATTTGGGGACATGAACAGGAAATGGAATTTCAAAGATATAAAACATTGTTACTCGTGATCAAGTATTGATCCTTCCGGACTTTACGAGACTGTTCATATGGTTCACCGATGCGTCGAACACTGGTATAGGAGGTGTCTTATACCAAGCAGGAGAAGGTAATCAGGATTTTATACGACCAGTATATAATGGTAGTAATGCGTTAACTGATGCGGAGAACAGTACATGCATTTATGAAAAAGAGCTCATGGCGATTGTATGTTTTGTCTACGCTTTTAAAGTTTACCTATTGAAGGTTTATACCGATCAGAAAAGCTTACAATATCTCATCAAATTTAATGAAATGGCATCCGCAAAGCTGTCCGATGGCAAGCCTCTTTATTGCCGTATGACTTTGATATTATTTATCGTCCTGGAAAATTAAATGCCAACACTGATGCCTTATTAAGATTAAAAGCAGCATACTCGATTCGACCAGAGTTAGGTGCGATTATCGAAGATTATTATCTGCCACACAATGATATTAAAGAAGCCTGTTTTTCTTGCGTCTCTTTGTTAAACGTGGCTTATGTGCTGCATAATAAAATCCAAATCCAAGCTCCTTTACTGATGTGATAATAGTTGCTCTACAGACGTTAATTTCAGTCATTTGTAACTCTAATTTCAAATCACCATACGTGACAAATGGATCGTCTCTAATGTCACGTTCCATATCTCTTTGCGCCCTTCGGTCAATCGTTTTTGGTGCACCAGGTTTTTTTTTAGACAAAGGACTACCTGTTTATTTTACCCTTTCATAACACTTCGCAAAGTAGACGATACTACGTCAACTGTACCGGAAATAGCGGTTGTTGTTATGCCGTGCTTATTTAGGTAAAAAAACCCCCAAAATTTATCTTATTTTGGGGGATTATAGTTACCACGAGTATGATTTGTCGTGTCTGTTAAAGGCATACCTGGTTAATTAGTGATATATGAAAGAAAAAACTATTTTATTAAAAGAAGTGTTGTGAAACAAAAAAGGCCAAAAATAAGGTTTCTCTAAACTTACTTTTGTTTGACTGTACATATCATAACCAATACTGATGGACATGTTCGAGTATCTTAATGGTAATTATCAACGATTTTGGGTTACGTTGTTATGAGTGTATGAGTTTGAGACCGTGCTTCCTGAATTCTCGTGGCTACAATCTTCACAATCATAGAACTCGTCTTCTGAATCGTCAAAAACATAGAACTGATCTTCTGTATCATCATAAGGATCGTTTGAAGAATCCGATACGAGTTCATCTTTACCGTCGTCATCGATCACAATCGTTTTCTCTCGGATCTCACGTTCTTCTTCCGTTTCGAACATAATATTAATTTCATTCCGAACGTATGTATCCGTGGGAATGTTGACGTGGACAGGGAAGATCACATTAAATTTAATGAAAAGATTACCCTTATTGCCATTCGTATCAGAGAATAAGGGCATTCCTTGACCTTTCTGAAAGAAGTCCATACCGGGTGTAATCACTGTTCCGGGGGCTTGTTGAAAGTTTAATTTTCGGCCATCCATATGTTTTATAAAATCTCGCTTTCGATTTATACCCATGAGAGCAACTCGTAGTTTGATGTCGATAAAGGCATGTAAATTGTCTCCCTCGCGCGAGAAACAGCCCCATTTATGTTCGACTGTCACCTTGATAAGCAAGTCCCCCTTTGTAACGTTGTCTGGCATAAAATTGCCATACTTCTCCAATATGATTGTGTCGCCGGAACCGATGCCTTTGCCAATTGGAATAAGCACACTAACAGGAGTCACTCTGGCCCCAAGACAGGTCTGGCATTTCTTTTTGTAAGTATTGACTCCTGCTCCATCACAACCAGAGCACGTAACAGATGCTTTCTTTCTGTTATCACTCAACCGGGTTTGGACATATCCAGCACCATTGCAAGTCACACAATTCTCAGAAAAGAGAAAACAACTCTCAATACTTTTATTTCAAAATTACTATCATGCTAGTTTTTTTATTTATTTCTTTTTGCTTACCCATGGCATGTTTGGCAGTTCACCTTGAGGTTGCAGTAAACCTTGAAGGCGCTCACGCCGAGATACGATTCTTCTAAAGAAACTTCCGCGGTAGTATAGATATGGTAGTCTGATCCTATAAAAAATTTTTAACGGAGTTTCAACATTTTATAACAACTAAGCCTTACTCTTAGGAGGTGGTGGTGGAGGAGTATATGGTCGTGGTGGAGTTCGTGGAGCGGGTGGAGCTGGTGGAGTTGGCGTCCTGCGTCGTCGTCTTGAGGTGTAAGGAGAAGTATTTGCGTAAAAGCTTTCGAAATCGAACTTCATTCCGCCTTTTCTTTTCAAATCATAAGCCACTTTTTGTTCATGATCAGACAAAATCTCATACGCGTTCAAAATTATTTTGAACTAAGGCAAGTTAATGTCATGAAATGAGACAGATAAAAAAAAAACTTTTACCTTTTCGGTTCCATTGGGATTTTTATCAGGGTGATAAGTTTTGGCCTATAAACAAGTTAGCTACACAGTCGGTTTATTTGAATAAAAATGTACTTACCAATTTGTAATAAGCCTGCAATTAAGAAAATAAAAATAAATGAGTTACATTGACAAAAAAAAAATTAAGACTCATTCATACCTTTCGAATTTTAGAGGAGGTTGCGTTTTCTGTAACTCCTAATGTCTTATAATGTGATTTCGTCATTATAATTCTGATTGTTTTGTATGAATGAGTAAAAAAAAAAAGAGAATGTCGACAACTACGTCTTTTTTTTTTAAGTACTTTTTTTAAATCACGGGGTTTTTTTTTGAAAAAAAAACAGGTGACCCACGTACTTTTTTTTTTTTTTTTTTTTTTTTTTAATCTTACTATTTTTTGTAGTAACGTTTCTCCTTAAATAAAACTTTGAAAATGTCGGTTACTACTTTTACAGCTACATCGTTTCCTACTGTAGGTGATACCTTTGCTTCTTTCGAGGAATTTAAAGACGCCTATTTGGATGCTGCAGCCAACCAAGGTTATCACCTATTCATCCGGGACAGTTCACACATTGGACAGGCTGAAAAGTCAGCCTTTTCCTATTACGGCTCTGTATTCAGCAACAAGTACAAGGCCGTTCGTACAGAGATCTCTCCCAAATTAGTTAAAGTTACAGTGACGGGAACATGCGACTTTTTTATCAGAGCAGTTTTGCCCTAGGAGAATGGAGATCGCTGGATCGTTGAAAGCCACAATAATGTCCACAATCATGACATGTTGGAAAACGACAAGAAATTATGTCTTGTCAACAACCGGAATCTCCATTACGAACAGAAACATTAAGATTGACGAGATGCACGTCGCAAACGCCAAGACATCCTCTATTGTCGTAGCCGTAAACAACGTCAAGTTCACAAAGACGAGAGTGATTTCAAAGGACATGACTAACCAACGTGCTCTGTTGAGACGTGGTTTAAAACAAGGTGAAAATCAACGTCACATGAATCCCTTCATTCGCAACTTGGAAGAGAAGGGGTACACTTTATCAAGCAAGTATGAGAAGAATGGAAGGTTGACCCTATTTTTCTTTACCCATGTTAGTACGATAAACAACATTCTTCAATGCCCCAAACTACTTCTCGTTGACGAAAAATACCGTACTGACATGGTTGCTTATCCTCTGATAAATGCTACTGGTGTGAACAATATCAGCAATGGATCGAAGAAGGGTTTATGGAATTACACTATTGCTTTGGCCTGGATTGCGGACAAAACCAAGGTGACTTATCAGTGGTTTTTCGGAACACTCAAGCCAAAGCTAATCGTGTGACCTGATGCATGAAAAAAATCTTACTTTTTATCCTTCAATCTTTGGATTATTATTTTTATTTTATGTGATCACTCTTATTTAAATTTGAAATAAATTATTTAATTTATAATTTCTTGGTTTTGGTCATAAATTAGTAAAAATGTAGATCTACGAGATTGCTGGTACCTTACCAGAAGTGATTATCACTGATAGAGCTTCAAGTGGTTCTAGTGCATTGGTTAATATCTTTCCAGAAGTCTATAATGATTTGTGTTTGGCACATTATCGCTCAAAATGTCAAAACTAATTTTTTAAGTTATTCCCCGACATGAAAGAATATGAAGCCTTAGTTAACTTATTTTGGATGTCACATGGTAGCAAAAAGCATGTTGAAACTATCGCCAATGTCAGTATCTGTCGTATTTGGATACGATTCACTTAAGCATAATTGAGCAAATCGTTTAAATAAATACACTAAGAAATTAAAACAATCTTTCGCATACTAGCAAACGCTTGTATAGTGCTATACAACTTCTCCTACTACAAGTACATACGTCTATATTCAAAATTGGATGATTGGCCTAAATATGATATACGAATGACAGTTAAATACAGAATGCTATACCACTTAGTTACGATATCATCGATCGAGTAGAGTATCTTCTCAAATCAAATCAAAAATTATAAGAAAGAGAAATTTAATATTAATAGTTCTCTCAATGAGTTACTACCCAGAGATAGAAAAGAACCGCTATTAATATAAATGTAACATTGAGAACCAGACTTTAATTAATCAGCATGAGTTACTTATTGCTTATAAAAGAAGAAGAAGAAGAAGCAGAAGACGAAGAAGAAGAAGAAGAAACATAAAAAAAAAAGAAGGTTCTTAGAGCGATCTTAAAGGAGACGCAAATCCAGTAGTATACAATGAACGAGTAAAGAATATAGTGCTTTTAGATGTAAAAATTTAAATCGTTTTTTCAATGAGCTTCTACAAGATGTTGTGAAAAGATAAATACAAAAGATAACTGACAGCAACAAAAAGAGGGAAAATTACTTGGTAACGATTATATGTAGGATCGTATCCTGTGTAACACTAAACAATGTGATGGTACATCGCCCAATTGAGGCACTTGTATGGAAAACTATCAAGAATGATTACCTTTCAGCTGCTCAGCTTAAATTTTGGATCATCAGCAGGCTCCAGCTAATACATGGTGTTAAAAATCATATTTATGCAAAGATACGCAGCATCATAAGTGGGTGCGATCAGTATATAGGCGAAACCTCATAAAAAATAGAAGACATTTACAGTGAGGTAAACATGAAAGATTAAAAAAAGGCATAAAAGACAAAAAAAAAAGACATTAAAGATCAAAAAAAGAAAATGTGGTTTTTATTACTATGAAAAAATGGAGACTCGCTAGCCTGTTTCAGCAAAGAAATTTGCCCAAGTACTGCGATAGTTGATGATAGATAAAGAAAAAAAAAAGAAAGTATTTTCAGACTGCTTAAAAGTTTTATTAAAAGTAAAAGTAGATTAAAGATTCGGAGGGTTCTATTCTAACTATCAGTTTGCATATGTATGTATGTTCAGAGAGATCGGATTATGAATTTAGATTGACGGATATGTTACACGGCACTATAATGGGCCTGGTAGTTGCATATGATGTAATGCATAAGAAATTTTTTGTGTTTTGATGTAATATTGTATGGCATGATAAAATGACATTGAATGCAGTATTGTTTTATGGTGTGATTAGTAACAACAGTAGGTGGATCACCACAAGTGCAACTGCGAGGAAGTCAGTCTCCGTGTGCACTCACCCACTTTTTATTAGTTTTGATGGCTCTCGAAAGAGCTCCCGTGTATCACCACAAAGAGGTCAAAAGACCATGTTCTGAACGTTGCAAACAGGACGATCACTAATTAGATGCATATCAACAAGCCGATTATCGACTGATCAGACTAGGGACCCATTTCGTTTACGTCATGCTCCACAACCGGCAAGTAGAATGTTACTGTCATAATTGAGATAAAAAGGGGAAATGTAAATCAGAAAGTAAAGCAAGTAAAGATATGAGACTCTAAAATCCTTTATTATAAATTGGAGAGTTTGTCATAATAATAATAAAGGTCGTTTTTATAATCAATTATTACTTCAAAATTTCTCCTGCGCAGATTAAATTCACTATTTAAGCGCAAACTAGGAAATAGTAGAATTATATTAAGAAATCAGTTACATATAAACCATAGCTTTTTGTTAGATACAAGAATCTACTTGACCTATATCCGGCATTTTCAAAGAATTATAGTTTATCCATTCCATGACAGGGACTTTGATAGGATTACTAAAATAAATTTATGAGAAACTAGAAGATTCGGCAGCTACTCGACCAATCCAGGAACGATTATGAAATCTGATCTCAATTCGCAATACGAGGGAGCTGGTACTGTCTCGTAAAAATAGGAATGTATTCGCAATATGGTACTTGTAATACGAAGGTTATATGTATTATAATATAGTGACAAGATAAAAGTAATTATATTCGTAGAATTAGGCGTCAGATACACCAGTTACATCCAATCACCAAAGAAAACTCGCGCTCTTATGCTAGGACTCATAAAATATGCTCCACAAGATAAAGGTGTTGCTGAAAATGCTTTGGTAGCTTGTTAAATAATCACAATGGGCTGCGACATATAACAAGTGGGAAAGGTAATGTCACCCAGAACAAACCGCAAAAATTCAGTATTCCCGCAAGAGCCTCGAGACCTGTCATCTTTGGGGACGACCCCAAATGGCACTTTGTAACGAAATACCCGAACGAAGTTACCAACCTGGATTCCAAGATGTGTTCGGTGACTTTATGTACACCATCAGGAATCACCCCAACGATGACCTTTATCCCGAAGAAAAATAAATTACGTAGTAACAATAAACGTGCATACTTGGCACAAGTAAGGCAAAATAGTGAACGAAAAGTCTGACATATGGAACTCAAAACAAAGACAATGAAAAATTAAGCGTATCCCGTCACCTTCACCCCTCCCTTATTCCGAAGACTGTCCCCAATATGCAAACTGTTTTTAACTAATCATCAATCGATTGTTGTTGATTATCTACTGTGTGTAACTAATGAGATTATAAATCACAATACTGTCCATATGAGACATGACGCTCCTGTATGGGTAAGATTTGTTGAATAACTAAAAATAATTTATCGTTTCATACATATTTTATTTTTAATACTGATAGACTTTTTTGGGTATCTTAATGGTCATTATCAACGATTTTGTTTTACGTTGTAATGGGAGTATGTGTTTGAGTCCGAGCTTCATGAATCCAAGTGGCTACAATTGTCACAATCGTAGAACTGGTCATCTGTATCTTCACAGTCATAGAACTGGTCCTCTGTATCGTCAAAAGGATCGCTTAAAGAATCAGATACAAGTTCGTCTTCACGGTCGTCTTCGATAATAATTGTGTTCTCACGAATCTGACGTTCTTCCTCCGTTTCGAACATATTATCAATTTCGTCCTGAACGTATGGATCCGTGGGAATATTGATGTGAACAGGGAATATCACATTAAATTTAATAATAAGATCACCCTTGTTTCCATTCGTGTCAGAGAATACTCGCATACCTTCTCCTTTATAAATTATGGTCATGCCGGGTGAGATCACTTTGCCGGGGGCTAGTTGAATGTTCAGTTGGCGGCCATCCATGTGTTTAATATAATCGCTTTTTGGATTTATTCCCATTAGAGCATCTCGTAGCTTGATGTCGATAGAAGCTACTAAATTGTCTTTCTGACGCGAGAAACAGCCCCATTTATTTCCGACAGTCACCTTGACAAACAAGTCGCCCTTTGTAACTTTGTCGGGCATGACATTACCTTGGTTCTTCAATTTGAACGTGTGGCCAGAATGGACTCCTTTTTTAATCGTATGCAAAATAATTACACCAATCGTTTTGACATCATGACAAGTCTTGCATTTCTTATTGTAAGTTTTTACACCTTTTCCATCACAGCCTTGGCACATAACAGATACTTTGTATCTGTTGTAATTCAGGGTTTCGACATATTTAGCACCATTGCAAGTCTTACAAAGCTTAGATTTTCGAACAGTACTCTCAATACTATTATTTAAAAATTATCATCATGCTAGTTTTTTTTTATATCTTTTTGCTTACCCATGGCATGTTTCGCAATTCATCTTCAGGTTGTAGCTAACCCTGATGGGTCTCACGCCGAGATATGCTTCTTTTAATGAAATTTCCGCTGTAGTATAGACGTGGTAGTCTGATCCTATGAAAAAAAATATTAGCGGAGTTTCAACATTTTATATCAATAACGTCTTACTCTTAGGTGGTGGTGGTGGAGGTGGACTTGGTGGTGTTGGTGGAGATGTTCGAGTTCGCTTCTTGCTTCGTGGGCTTGAGCTAGAAGAAGCAGTACTTGGATTGAAACTTTCGAAATCGGTCGGGCGTTTTCTTTTCAAATCATAAGCCACTTTTTTATCGTGATCAGATAAAATCTCATACGCGTTTGAGATTTCCTTGAACTACGGCAAGTTAATGTCATGAGAGGAGACAGATAAAATAAAATTTTTTTTTACCTTTTCGGTTCCATTGCGATTTTTATCAGGGTGATAATTTTTGGCCTATAAACAAGTTAGCTACGCCGTCAGTTTATTTGAATGAAAATGTACTTACCAACTTGTAATAAGCCTGTAATTAAGAAAAGAACAATTAAATGAGTTACATTCCAAAAAAAATGTTATGACCCGTGCATACCTTTCGAATTTCAGAGGAGGTTGCGTTTTCAGTAACTCCTAATGTCTTATAATGTGATTTCGTCATTATAATTCTGATTGTTGTGTGCGAATGAGTAAAAAAAAAAAGAGAATGTCGACACCTACGTCTTTTTTTTTTTAAGTACTTTTTTTAAATCACGGGGTTTTTTTTTGAAAAAATAACAGGTGACCTACGTACTTTTTTTTTCTACGTACTTTTTTTTTTCTACTTACTTTTCTTTTTTCAGTGGATTACTACTTTTAAAACTACAACTTTTCCTACTGTAGGTGATACGCTTGGCTCTGCCAAGGAATTTAAAGAGGCCTGTTTTGATGCTGCAGCCCGCAAAAGATTTCAGCGATTCATCCGGTACAGTTCACCCATTGGACATGCTAAAAGGTCCGCCTTTTTTCATCATGGCTATGTATTCAACAACAAGTACAAGGCCGTTTGTACCGAGAACTCCTGCAAATGAGTTAAAGTTACAATGACTGCGACCTGCGAAATTTTTATCACAGCAGTTTTCCCCAAGATGAATGAAGATCGTTGGATCATTGAATGCCATAACGATGGTCATAATCATGACATGTTGGAAGACGACAAAAAATTATGTCTTGTCAAGAACCGCCAGCTCCATTACGAACAGCAACGTACGATTGATGAGGTGCACGTTGCAAACGCCAAGACATCCGCTATTGTCGCGGCCGTAAACAACGTCAAGTGCACCAAGACGAGAGAGAGTGCAAAGGACATCACTAACCAACCTGCTCTGTTCGCACGTGCATTAAACAAACGTGAAAATCAACGTCACATGAATCGCTTCATTCGCAATTTCGAAGAGAAGGGGAGCAGTTTATCAAACACGTATGAAGAGATTGGAAGGTTGACTCATTTGTTATTTGCCCATGTTAGTGCGGTAAACAACATTCGTCAATGACCCGAAGTACTTCTCGTTGACGCCACATACCGTACTATCCGGTTTGGTTATCCTCTAATAAATGCCATTTGTGTCAACAATATTAGCGAAAGGATCGAAGATGGGTTTCATGAATTACTCTGTCGATTTGGCATGGGTACGGACGAAACCAAGATGACATATGATCGGTTTTTTAAGACACTCAAGACAAAGGTAATGTTTTGACATGGTATCAAAAACGATGTTAAAACCATCGCCGATGTCAATAACATCAAAAAGCATGCATTGAATCCCACATGAAACATCGAAAAGATTGTGAATTTTGTTGACGAATTGTAAAAACAACGTGCTTCTTGGGTCAAGCAGTACACCGATTAGTGTACCACATGGGAATTTATACTACGAGTCATGTTGAACAGCCCACTGTGCATTCAAAGGAAATAACTGTCAAATTGCCACAAAATTTGTCCAATGAGATATGGTACTCGCCAACCAGAATATCAAAGCTGTCATGGATAAAGGTTACTCGACGTTTTCGGCCGATCCTTTTGTAATAACCAACCCAATGTCTCGTGAATTGGTGAAAGTGGTTAGCAGATTTGCAATTGAGATGATTAGGAAGCAAATCCAAATATTCAAGAAAGAGAGCCTTGATTGCTGCTTGAGACCTTCTATGTGAGTTTTCGGTATTGTTATGAAGCTACCCTGTAGACATATTATATACAAGGAAGAATATGACCAGGTATTCAGCAGCCAGACAAACAGTAATAGATGGGACAATGTAGCTATCCGCAAGGATGTTGTCATTCCTCTCTCCTCTGTGGACGCAAGATGGATTGTCGGAAAATTGGCCTGGAGTAATAACTCGAACCCTCTTGAGAGTGTGCACCAGTTGTTGTCAGCAGGTATTATTTTATTTTTATAGACAAATTATTGAACTGTTAACAAGCTCATTTTAAACTTTAATAGAAATGTACACTAAGACGAATGCAACTGACACTAATTTGCACACGCTTCGACAGGACATAGAAGAAGTACCATTTGAGCATGTACGAAAAGAAAAACTTGATGTTATCAGCCACACGGTTGACAGCATCAATGACAAATTTCGATGTCAAGTTTTACAGCCTTTGAAAAAGAAGGAACTGGCAGTTAGTAGTCGTAAGTTGACATAATAATAATAATCTACTCAGCTTATCAGTACTTATAACTCGTTTTTTATAAAAATTGTCAAGACGGGGAAAATTCTTTCCCAAGGTGAAGCCGTTGATGCTAAATTGAAGAAGGTGAACAGACGAAAGCCATCTACTACAAAGTAGCTCAAGCAAGTGACATTCGATGATTCTACCATCATTGAAGATAGTATCAAGCTTTATTTAATCTTGCGCTGCGTTGGAATGCTTCAGTTCATGCTGAAGCACGTCGCTTCGGTGACAAAAGTTCTTGGCGAAGGAAATTGTGGTTTTCGTTCCGTTGCTGCTTATGTAGGAGGAGATGAAGTCATACGAGTTGCGCTGTCTCTTGTTGACGAACTCTTAGGTGCCTTCGAGAAGGATGAGGGTTTTTACAAGGATGTAAGAAGATGCTTATTGAATCAACTAACGAAAAATTCATCATGTTACGTTAGTTGCTTCTTTGCTGTTCCGTTTTGGAGTACCAGAACACTATTAGAATTGATATGTCTCGCTGTAATAGGGAAATGTAAGAAAGACAAATAGTTGATAATGGGCGCTACAGGTAATTATGATCGAAACACCTATATTTAAGTGCTATCATACTTATTAATGTAAGCTTTGGTTATCTTATTGCTGATGTGTACAGCCGCCCAGTTTATTGTTTTTCCAGGAAGGAGTCAATTACCATACTTCCAAAGTGCATTTTAAATGGAAATAAACCGGTCAGCTTCGTATTACACGATGATCACTACACACCTGTCGTATTTGGGTACGATTCAATTAAGAATAATTAAGCAAATGTTTTGGATAAACAAGCTATGTAATTAAAACAACCTTTGATGTCCCATACCAGAAAACTCTTGTATACTGCTATACAACTTCGCCTACTACGAGTAAAAAAAAACGTATCTAGTACGATTTTTAAGCGCTGACAAACGATTTCATAATCCGGAGATCACCAGCAGTAAGACAATCATTATCGTCATTACCAGTCAATTCAAATTCTTCATAAAATGGAGCCCATAGCTGACCAAAATCCACATTACCTGCGTAAAGAAACAGATGGAAATAATCAGTTTCAGGAATTTAAAGAGGTGCATATCGGATCCACCTACTTGTTTATTTGCTGGATATCATATTTGGTTATTCAGAACTGCAACGATAATGAGATGCGTCATACCAAGTTAATGAATCCGTCAATGACAACGGTATCATCAAACTGTGATACAATCAGGGTTGGTACACAATAAAGCAGCCAGTCCAGCCACTCAGCAGAATGATAAAGTGCCTTGACATTGTTAGGCTTCATTGCTAACCAACTTCCTTTCAAACAAGATGCTGGTATAAGTTGTCTAGATCCTAAGTTGTCTAGATCCTTCGATGCTCGTTTTGATGGCTGTGAACGATTTTTTAAACAATTGCAATGGATAATCTGTTTCCTTTCCACAGTACTTGAAATGAAGGTTGAAATTTGGAGAAAGCATGGAAAAAACATCTTTGGCAATGTTACAATACAGATGCATCTCATCATTTCGATGAAACGCAACCGACGTTAAAAGGACTAGATCAATAAAAACCCTAGGAAGATTAATGTCGTAGTCGTTATTTGCCTAATATAATCAAATGATAAATGGAGAATAATATGCGCAAACACTATCATAATTACATAGACTTTCGCTATCGTATTTTTTCAACAAACTATTTCTTGATCTCAACAACGCTTTTCGATCCTGAAAGTACATACCATGGGTCCCATCGCCAACAATCCCGTCTCTGTTTTTTTCATCGCCTCTATGCGTTTTCTTTGTCAAACAAAATCTGCAGCCATATGTTGAAGAATGACCACCAAAATTCATCAACTCGTTACATTGAACACCATCACCAGAAACATCCATAGTCCTTACTCTACTAATTGTGACTTGCTGTCTGTTTTGCTTAACCAGAATAGGCTTGGAGTGTAATTCAGAAAATTCTTTGACAATTGGTCGCAGATACGAGTTAAGATTGACCTTGACTTTGTTAAAAAACAATACCGATTTGGAAACTATTTTGTAGAATAAAACTCTATGATGATGTAAGTGTGCCTCAATTTAGCTGGAGTCGTTTTTACGTACTTCCGAAATATCATAGTTTGAAATTAAACAATGGATCATCGTCATTCTCGTCCTCGAAAACTTGTTGCGAAAGCTATCAATGTCAATCTTTAAAGCAATGTCATGCTTATTGTCAAAATGACCATCATTTACAAATTTCGCAAAGAGCTCTCCATCAAAGACATCCCTGTAAATTGTTTCTTGCGATGGCTGCAAAATTTCTGAGTTGGAGTATTCTTCAAATTGGTATGCTGGTCTTCCCTTACATCATAACAAGCTAAAAGCTCGCAAAAGTTGGCCGCGATATTTATGGTCTTTAGCTCCTTCTTGATATTTCTAGAACAATCACAAATGGGACAAGAAATAAGATCAACATCCTTTATAGCGTCATACAAGTAACATCCATTAGTAGCACAAATTTCATGCTTGTTGACAAGATTCATCGGTACCACACGTTTGATGAGTTTATTACAAGCTTTACGTCCAAGTAACTTGCTCAATTTGTCTATGGTAAAATATTTCAACACTATTGATAAATTATATTCAGTACTATGTACGTTTTTATATTAACCGATTTTTTTATCACACAACATGTTATTGAATAACTTTATCAGTTGCCTATGACCTTCGCGACAAAGATCTCTCTCGTCACAAATATTGAAAGGCGGATACTGTATTCTTGAGCTGGACTGAAGGGATTGGATGGAATAAAGACATCACGGACAGTATAAATATAATCGTCGTCTTGGCACCAAGTGGGAATATTTTCAGAAACGTCTCAAAATATGGGCCATGTAATTATCATATCTTTCATTTAATTATTTTATTGTACATACCTTCATTATTGTCACTAAACGAATTCATCTCTGGCGCATCAAATCCAGCAATATCTTTGAAATCATTCCAGTCGGTGAAAAATACATCTTCCAAAATTTTATCATGCTCTTCAAGAACCCTCTCATTGTGGTCTAACCCTTCAAAGTTGAGATAGCTCGGAGGACTTTGGTGGGGAGCATCCTTAGACATGTTATGGGTATCTGTTGGAACAGATCACGAATCAGTTTGAGCAAGACTTTCAGAGTACCTGGACAAGCATTTAAAAAGCACAGCCGTAGGAGCATTAGTTCGCACTCTTTTTATATTTTCTTTGACTAGTGTTGTTTGGGGGCGTTTGCATTGTAAATATATTGGTGCTTTAATTTTTCGGTCGATTTTCCTCATCTTTTTATATCCAAAAATAGACGCTTTGCTTCGGGCTTGTTCTATATTAGGTGGTTTGTCATTTTCAAACACGCATAACGAGCTATAACTTATAATACGTCGAGGGTGTTACGGTGCGTCGTTACCTCCTATGGAATGTTTGGTATAAAAAGAGTACTCTTCGTCATTACAAACAAGTTTACATTTGTGTAAAACGACAAGATTCATTTTTTTGTCAGTCGGAATGACCATGTCAAATATTCCCATGTAAGTTAGTAATATACCCAGTGCATTGTTTACCAGTCTTTTAAAATATCTTTATTTTATAACGCGTTATCACTGTCAATGATTATGAGTAATCCTTCACTGCAAAGTTTTCGGTAAATACGTTGCAGAATTGTGCCAAGCCTGTCAAAATTGCCTGATTTGTGATGACAGCCGGTTTCCATCTTAACCTATTTGGGACAGATTACCGAATTGGAAAGTATAAATGCATTTTAATTTTTTTTTAACTACATCTTTTTATCAACTCTTTAGAAAACTACTTAAACTATGCTTGATACCAACATCTATGACTACCAAACCTCTGCTACGCAAGGATTAGATTCTTCCTTTGATATTCTCTTTAACTCTGCCTCCCTCTCCTCTTTCGGTCACGATCCTGTTGTAGCTGAAGTGCAATCTCGTAAACATGAAGTTATGGAAATGACGAACAGCATTACAGAGTTAAAAGAAATGATTAAGAACATGGCTGGTCACTCACGGGTTGCTGGTAAGATAATTTTAAAGAAAGAAATACCTCAAGCAATGCTAATTCGGTTCCAACGTATGTCCGGTTTTACTGATCACGAAGGCAACACGGAATTAAGAAACCTACTCAGCAAATCTATACCGAGAAGAAAAAGGCTTTGTTACAGAACCCGAATCGTTTAGGCCAACGTGTTAAAGCCAAACTCTTAGGTGTCTCTGCAAAGAACCAGGTCACTGAGGCCTCGAGAACCTACTTCGAAAGCGACCACAATATATTGGAAGGTGGTCCTGTCGCAACGGATATCTGCGAACTGGAACGTCGATATAATTTGACATATACCGCGATGACAACTTTTGCTACCGCTTCTTCGTCAAAATTTGCTCACACGCAAAGACATCCGCCTTGTTCTTTACGTTGATAGGCTTCACAACCAATCCAAACCTGGAAGCTCTCAAACGTTAGTCTATTTCATGTTGATGAACATTCCCGCATCTAAAAGGTTTAGAATTTAAATTTACTTGCATATGTTATCTTAATCAAACTTACCTTTTCGTTGTTAGAGCAAAGGAGTCGATGATGATAGCACTGGCTATTTTACCTGGCCCGAAAATCCCAAGTATTGGATGAATTGATTGAAGCCAATCATCGAGAAAATCAATTCGTTGTGTGCAAGAGGATTCTTCTTGGAAAAGAACAATTAAATTGTTCACCAAAGTAAAGTATTCTTGCTCGGAATGACTGGTTATATTCCAGGAATGGCGGACTTGATGAATCGTCGTGTACACACAAGCAAATATGGTTACAGAATTTGCAAAGTGGTTGGCAGACATTCTAAAGGTTACCCTTACGGTATGTACTTCTTGGATGCAGGTGATATGAGAACAAAAGCCCGAATTAAGCAACGGCGATCCGGTAAATTATTCAAAGTGTGCACCAATATTTTTAAGATTTTAAACGCAGTATGAATTAGGGATTTGATATGGTTGGTATTGATCTTGGGATTAACTATTATTCGACCCTCACGGGTACATCTTTGTTTCTTGGTGATGATATTCATTTGATCGGTAGAGGACTTGGTACTTTGGTCTACAATCTTTACGATCCCAAGAAGATCAAAAGGTTCCGTAAATCTATTACTATAGATGCACAACTTTGGTTTGAACGTGCATGATGACACTATCATCAAAAAATCTGATGAAAAGGTAAATCAGAGCAGGGGTTACAAAAGATCAGCTTCTGAGGGAACTTGGGCTGGCAGTGTAGGTATTGTAAGAGCTATCAGTTACGAAGATTTCTCTTATACATTGTCCCGACTATTGCGCTTTCATTGGTCCAGAAAGACTAAACCAAATTTGCGTTGGTTGAATTGGTGTCGGATTTCTCGTACGGACATTGCAAAAATGAAACGGTAACATGACAATCAGAGACTAGATATTAAAGATAAGACATTAACGCAAATATTTAGATGATTTAGAAGTTAGCATACCTTTTTGAATAAAGAGATTCTTGCAAACTGTATCAATGCTCGAGTGTTCACTGCCAATAACCGCTATTTTATGCATCTGCCGTATTTGGTTGAACAAGTGGGGCGATTAAAATGCTACTCTTGCCGACCAATGGAGGGGAGAGTTCGGAATTTCACCAACTTCATCAAGTCCACGCATTGTATAGGGGCAAATACTCGAAACGGCCTTCGTCACCAGGCTAATTATAACAAGATGGCGGTTAGGTGTCTGCAGTCCATTGAATTCCAAGAATTCACGGATCCTCCAGATACCTACCGTTCGAATTCCTCCGGTGCTAAAATCTAATGTTCATTGGTACCTCAATCTTTGCTTGGATCGGATTGGGAGGATATACGCTTCGGTATCCCGAGATTGAAGGTGATCGATGCACTGTTGTCTTTTTATGATGATACTGTTGTGGATGGAATCAAATAATCGACCTCGTCATCCATTGTGATTACAAGTCGTTCATGAAACGATAAGTTCAATTATCGACATAACCTTCAAGATCTTAAAGACAATAGGTAATAATATTGTCCTTTTTCAGGTTGTCAAAAGTACTGGTCACAAGTGAGCAAAAGACATTTGACATACTTTACTGGTATTGACAGCATAAACTTTAGATCCATTTCCCTTTCGTATGTCGGTGAGGTATACTGCTACTTTAGACCCAAGCAAGAACGTAATGTCAATTTCTTGGCTATGATTTAAGTGACGAAGCAGCAGAAATTTGACGCTCACAATATTGTGACAGTTGCTCGGAATTCCAGGTGTGACAGATACAAGAAGTACACTGTCATTTCCATTACAGACTTTCATGAAGTCTTTGTTGTCGTAGGGTATTCCGATTCCGCTAGCAATTTGAAGGTTGTTGGCCGTACATTAAATATACTGACAAGATTAATCATCGCCTTGGTGGTTTTTTAGTTTATTTGTAAGTTGGGCGTATCTTTCTCTGTTTTGCGTAGACAAGTTTTATTGTAATTAAGCTCTCTTCAAAAATTCATCTCATGGAGTGATCACTATTTCATTCAATCTGTTGTCTTAATTGGCAATGTGTCATTTGGCAATGCTTGTAAAATAAAAAAAAAAAAAAAAAAAGGAAAGGAAAAAAAATAAAAGAAATTATATTCAGGTGGTCGTGTATTTTATCCACCAAGCTACGTCCTTCCGCAACATATCGCAGAATTCCACTACCGACTCCGCGCCTGTGTTAATTGTCTCTCTGGTTATAATTAGATCATTTGGCTTTCCTACGTAATAGTAAAAATATCACCCCATAATGTTGAGCGTTGCGGAGGAGCAGTTGATTGCGAGCAATGGCGATTAATAGGTGGTCATCTCTTTTTGTTTTATTTAATTGACGGAATGGGAATTTTCATGTCTTAGGTGACACTCTTTTGGCTAGTAAAATATAACAAGTCCTAATTTTAGTGGCTTAGGAAAAACTTTTTTTTAAGACAAGGGCGTGTTGTTTTCTTTTCTTTTTCTTTTCTTCCCTATACCAGTCTTAAAAAAAATGCTAGTACACCTTCTTTTCGACGAGTAAGTATAATTTTCACAATTAACATGTTCAATATATAACTGATCCTAATGTGACATTAAATAGCCTCATGTGTGAAATAACACATCTCGCCCTTGTCTTCTCGGCATTCCCTTGGTTTTTGGCCAGGTTTGGTTTTTTTTCCGCGTGGAAAAAAATTGTTTGGTCTTTTGGCTTTCTTTGGTGTCTGGTAACTGGTCTTCGACCGAACCGTCCTTCTCCCCCCGAGGCAATTGGGGAATTGTACTTTTGTACTGGTCGGGGTTTTTACCCCATCTCCTTGCGAGATCAAGTGCCTGTTTCGCCCTTGCCTGGTGTTTCTCCCTGCTCTTCTGCTGGTGCTTCTGCTTCTGCTCCTGCTTGTTCTTCCCCCGCGGTCTCGTCTCCGGTTCGTGAGGTTCCACGCCTGGAATTTTCCTTTGCGTCTCGCCCTCCCGCAATCATCAAAGGCGAAAGTAAATGTCATTTTCTGGACTGTGCTTTTCCTCGTGGCTTGCCTTGTGTTGGTGGTGGTTTGGTGCCTTCTTTTCCTCCCCTCCCAGAATACCATCCTTCCGTTCCTCTCTTTGCCTTTGTAGGCGAAGTGATTAGTCAGTCTTGGCTGGCTGAGAACGCGGCCTGTCTTGGTTCGGTGGCTTCGACCTGTCCTTCTGTTGCTGGTTGTTTGGCTGTTGCCACGTCCTCCCCTTCTGTTGTTGTTTCTCCTTCTGTGGGCCTTCCTTCTCCTTGCGAGAATTTAAACTCTGGAGGCAAAAGAAAAACTCCACCTCCCTCCCCACCATCATCGACTCGTCGTCGACTTTCCCGTTGTCCTTCTTCGGACATGGTGTCTTTGACTGTTTCTTCTGCGCCTGTGGTCACTTCTGCGCCTGTGGTCTTTTCTGTGCCTGTGGACTCTTCTGCGCCTCTGGTCTCTTCTGCGCCTGTGGTCTCTTCTGTGCCTGTGGTCTCTTCTGTGCCTGTGGTCTCTTCTGTGCCTGTGGTCTCTTCTGCGCCTGTGGTCTCTTCTGCGCCTGTGGTCTCTTCTGCGCCTCTGGTCTCTTCTGTGGTTGTGGTCTCTTCTGCTCCTGTTTTTTCTTCTGCTCCTGTTGTCTCTTCTGTGTCTTCTGTCTCTTCTGTTCCTGCGGTCGGTGTCGTTGAGGCCTCCTTCATCTCTGTCTCCCCTGCGCGATCAATCGCCATGCCTTACGTGGCCCATTATGAAAAAGCCAGGGAGAGACAGAGTTTGAGGGACCTCTTCGACGCCGCCGAAAAGGAAGGTAAGCTATTTTTATTTTAAACTTTTTAAAAACGTTCGATTAATTAACTATTGTTATTTTGTAGAAGAAGAGGAGTTAAAGAAGGAGGAAGAAAAGAAGAAGAAAAAGTCTCTTTTTCGGGGCAGAAAATAAAATGTTTTTTATAAAAGCTTAATTTACTGGGATCAGTTACTACATGTGTCTTTTGTTTGATTGGGAATTTGCTATTTATTTTAAAACGAGACTTTCAAATGAAGTCTTTCCGTGCTAAAGATTGAGATTGCTTCATTGAGCATCTTACTCATTTGTCCAACGACTAGTCGGAAAAGGAACAGTAGTGCAGTTTTAAGGGCCCTTACAAGCAACATACTTATTTTTTTGAAGTTCCCGATTCAAAAATTTATTACTTTTTTTTTGAATCGTTACTTCAGACTTCAAAAAGAAAGCTTTTTCCAAACTCCACGACGTCGCTTTTTAATGACCCTTTTTAAACGATTATAAGCTAAAGTTTACTCAAAATCGTAACCAATCTATTATTATATTTCAAGGACTCTATTTTTGAGATATAATTTTTATTTTTAGAACAAAAAAAAATGAACGTATCCCAAATTGTTAACGTAGTTGCTGAATTGCTATTAGTTTTATTTGGACTTGATGATGATACAGTGCATATAATATATAATGTACAACTTTGGCTCCGATTTTAACAAAAAAAGGAAAACTCTATCTGCCGCATGAACTAACATGTATCATGAATACGGCACTTTTCTGTTCTTTATTACACAGTTCTTCATAAAATAATAGAGTGCGATTTTTTTATTTTCACACAATATATTTTATAGATGGTAAAACAAAATTTGCCATTCATAGTGGGGAGACACGAAGATTTCCGGCAGCTTTTCAAAGCGCAAACATTCATAAAAATATATCAGATATATCCCGGTTAAATGATTTCAGCAAAATATTTTATTCTTCTGTCAAAAACAAATGGGGATCCCCTTCCGGTCGCTAATCCTATTTTTTAAAGGCGTATTAGACAGTCCCTCCTGACCATATATTTTTGTACCTATGCTTACCCTTCAGTAAAAACACATGGTTCCCAGGAGGGTAAATCAATTGGATATGTGCATGAATGTCCCACGTTTATACATTATCAATGATACAAAATAGCGTTAAGAAAAAAAAACTAAAAGAGTGCACCATCATATCTGAAAGAGCCTCGATAACTATGTAATCTAACCTTTCTCAAAATGAAATCACTTTCAGCTTCAATTTTATGACCAAACATTAGAAAACGTAATGATAGTAAAAAACACAAGTACATTTTTATCGTAATTTTTGGCTTATCATATTGCAAGATTTCATTAGATAAATCGTTGCACAACTTGAATCTTTAATGATTAATCGTTTGTTCCAAACTTACACATCTGGCTTCACGAATGCTAACGTTCATCTTTGTTTGTATTAAAAAGTGTTCTTTAATAACTCAGCATTGCTGTGACATCACGCAATTATAACATAAAGCTTTCTTGGCAAACAAGCGAGTGTCCAAGACAACCATTATTAGTCCATATATGGTAATATAAATGTTAATTTACTTTTTTTTTTTTACCCATTTCTTAGGCTACTAGACTAGTAAAGTCCGTCTAATACACCAAAAATATGAAAACCACCACTTGTGATGAGGTCACGATGACTGATATGTGTACCTCAAGCCATCCAATGGGTATCACAGCCAGACGCAAAGCGTAAAAAAGGCTCTGCCAATCAAACCACACCATCCTGATAATAACATATAATCATACTAATAGTTTCAGAAAATCAAATATCAATTAACGAAGTTCAGAATAAATAAACTATAAATTATCTTAAATCCCAATTTCTACGTTTTTCAATACTTTCCTTGTTAGTTGGAGAGTACTATATAATCAATAAGGCGCTCAGATAGTTTAATTTATTAAGCCAAGGGGTAATTGTAATCCCCTTACAACACAGCTGTGGTAAGGCGATAGTTTAGAGCACGAATTACTCTAGCGCCTCAATAGCTCTCTGTGATGGTGTTTTGAAGCTAACCTTGTGACATGATACGAATAGATTATATCCTGTGGTAGTCTAAGTTGTACTATGCACTACTCAGTTATATTGTAAAGTCGTAATTTCTTCTAAATTAATAAAGTTTAAGTCTTTTCTCATCCATAATCTCACCAAACAGTACATCATCCTAACGTGTGCGGAGTGCTGTTTTACAGTCAAGATAGTTTCCGCAAAAAACGTTTTATTAAGTCAATAGATAAATCAAATCTCGATACAACATTTAGTGGAGTAGCTGGGCTTACTTAATAGAACGAAGCAAGTCGAACGAATACTGAAAGAATCAACAACTTAAAAATATTATAGGTAATTACAACAGTGAAGTCGGCCTACCACCTGGGTCATAAATGCAAATAATATCGTATTTAAGAATCATACCACTAAGAAATATGTAGACCGTAACATGTCCGTATTAGTTATTGATAAAGAAAAAAACAAACAAATCACGGTGGCCACTGGAAGACCAATAATCGGTCCCCACCTATGTTTTCTGAAACGGGTAGAGTCAAGGATCGATTACTCTTTCTTCAAGACCTTGAGAAATTCTCCAAGAGGAACAACCGGCCTACTGGCGAGAGGAAAAAGGACACTTTTCTTTTATGTCTGGCTGGTCATGCTGAAAGATGGACGATAAATCATTTGATAAATGATAGGAAGACCTTCGAAGCCTGCTATATGATGACGGTACCTAGGATTGTATCTTGGACAAGTGCAAAAAAATTACAAGACGGAGGAATGGTATGACTTACATACCAAAGACTACGTGGAACGTACTCAATCTAATGAAGCGACACATTTGGAATTTATAGTGATAAAACGTTATCGTATGCAATGTTCTGGACCTGATTTTATTTATTGTACTGAAACGCAAACGTCAGAGATCTCATGAAAGGTTTATTACCTCAAGTTCGCCTTTTTGTGAGCAGAAGCTCTAGCATCCTTTGATTAAATAAGCTAATATGTTTTTCGATGGTCTTGATGGTTTCGGGAAGTTGCTGCTCTGTGCAGAGAGTTGTATGTACGAAGACCGTAAAGTTTTGAATGTTACATGTTATGACAAAAATCTCGTGGTCAGTACACCAGTAAATGCTTTACTCAGATTTGAGAGTAATTTAAGTTGCACAGACCATTCAAGTGGTACAGCCAATAACATCAAGTCGAATATGACGGATTTCCAACGACTAGTATTAGCCAAGTTTGAAAAGCTCAATTTTATTGAAAATGAACTAGCCGTGGTCAAGGATCGTGTTGACATGATGGAGAAGACCAACGCAACTCAAATGGGTCATTCCACCTATTCAGGTCGCACTGGTAACCATGGTACAGGTGGAAATAAAATAAGGTGTTACAATTGCGATGATGTAGGACATTTCGCTAGGAATTTTAACTTGGTGTGTAATACTTGTGAATAGGCAAACCACTTGTCCTTTAACTGTCCTAATCGTAATCATGAGAACCGTTGTGAAGGTCAAGCAAACAATTCCATTCAAGAGCAGAGCAGAAGGATTTGAAGAAAAGCCCCTAGAGGTTTAGAAGTAGAGGGACAATCTAGTAAAATAGTCCAAAAGCAAATAGTTCATCGATACACTTTATCTAACACGGAGCCAAAGTTGATGAACACAAGGTATATGCAACTGGTACTACCAAAAAGACTCCAGAAGAGTATAAAGCGATTAGGTTACAGAACTTAGAGAAAGAAAGAAAGGCCAAGGTAGAATTCAAAAAACCTTGATATCCAAGCAAAGCAGCGAGGTAAAATCCCACCGTCAATCGCGAGATGGATGTAGCGGGAGTTTCCTATCTTGTTGAACGATTAAAAAAATGTGACACATCTGGATCTCAAAACGAAGTTATTGGATACGCAAATACCCGTCGCTGTACCTTGGCTGTTATATTTCGCACATGAACTGTAAAATCAATACCTTAATCTACTAGGCGGTTAGCCCTTGACTAATAGGACGAAATCGATGGTCAAAGGTATGGCTGAGTCTATGAAGATTGACAAGGATGAGCTACCAGCGGTGAATATGATCAACTTGGATGCGTCCAGTTTGGTTCTGGATGGAACTAGTGTGTAATCAGTGCTAGCTATTGTAAAGGATCAACGGAATCGTGAGTTTCCGATCAATGGACGTGCTGTAGTATCAATAGTCCATTGGGATATGGTCAAACAATTGGAGAAGGATTATCGGTGTTACCAAAAGATAGAGTTTTGAGATTCGCAGGTAGGAAAATTGATATTCCAATGGGTGTGGTTAAGCTAAAGTTTCAATTTTCAACTGAAGTTACAATTCAGAATTCATTCTGTGTACGTCAGACCCCTATGACTCCAAGATGGACTGGCATGAATTTTATCTATGCAACCAAGGTGACAACAAATCCACATCTGAACAATTTGGTGTTTACATGTCAGGAGTGGACAGGCGGACAGTACAGACAGAAGAATACTTGCTTACAAGGACAAAGAAATAAAGGATAATTATTATTTATTATAAGCGAGAGAGATAGAAGAATAGAAAAGAGAGAGTTATCAGATAATATATCTGATGAAGGGGAAGAAAGAAGAGGACAACCTAGGCTATATTTCTAATAGAGGATTGTATAGTTATTTAGTACAAAAGTAAGCAATGACAAAGTTTAGTAAGTCAGTACTTTTTTATGACAGATTTGATGATTGATGGCTGACACGTAGATGACGAGGTGCTGAAAAAGAAATACCAAATTTAATGCATCTATGTGACACGAACATGACATGACCCCTGATAAAACTAACAAGCTGTATGATATCCCTACGCCCCTGCATGAAAAAGTTTTGACTTGGCGATAGAAAATCATAACAATGCTATGGCTGTATTTGCGACCGTCTCTGATAACAAACGTAACTTAGAGTTCAAAGACGTATCAATCGTTTACGAATGGGTTTTTGAACCCGGGAAAAGTCAGTTGCTATGATTGAAGTTATCTGAACCATCCACCAATTGGATCTAAGACAAGATCTTACAGCCTTCTGACGATATTTATAAGAAGCAAGGGTTGTATATTATGCCAAAGGTGATGGAAAGTTCTGATGAAGACAAGCCTTACCGTATGGTAGTAGCCAATATGACGGTAAATGTCGTAAACTAAGAAGAATACGGTATTGGGACAACTTTTGAATAAAAGTAAGGTACCGTTGGGAGTGCTTACATGCAACAGATTGAGGAAATCATAGATGTTATTACCGAAATGCATATTAATCATTATGACAGTTGCCAGGCCATCTATGATTCATCGATGTTGGAAGGCACGATCCTTGAACCGACGAAGGAAGAACTGGAAGCCTTTGGTATTTCAAACCTTTTGTTAGAGCTTGGAGCAAACCAAGCGAAGTCAAGCGTATATCATATCACGTACGGATCGAAGGATGATCGTAAATCAAATGTATGTGCAGTGGGTGAGGAAGATTCTCAAGTTTGGGATATCAATCCACAGTTAACATGTATCAACCGGAAAAGATAATTACGGTGTTGAAGAAACATATGTCGGTCTTTGCTACGTCTAAAGAAATAAAATCCGGGAAAGTTGAACCATATGGCAACAAAATTAAGAATGATGTTAAAGCCATAACAGTCTCTCCTAGACTGCTTCCTATTGCGGCAAATAAATGGTTAAAAGGCTATCGGAAACAACTAGCAGATTTAGACATGATAGAACCATGCACAGGTCCATGGGCAGCCGCAGTAGCGTTAGTGACTAGTAATTAGGATCAAAGAGCTCCAAGAAAGAAATTTTAGAAGGTCCGGAAAATACCTGAATTAATATCATCACCGGGTAATCAAAAACCAAAAGCG